CCGGTCATCGACAGTAAAGTATGATTTTTTTTTGTTTTTTCGAAGCTTTTCTTCTCTATTTTCGAAAATCCAAGAAATTTTCTAAGATCGGGCCTCGGGATTACTAGATCTAAAAAAATAGATCTCGACAACCTTTCCCGTTTCTCGGCCAAAAATTGTTTTTTAGGGGTTTCGAGTAAAAATCTCAAAAGCAAAACAACATGCAAAGAAGAGAACCGAACAAATAAGGTAAAAATTTATACCTTTTTCTTATTTTGTTTCGAATCGTATACAATAGCTCCGATTTGCCTTGATTTTTTGAGTATTTTTCGTGCCTAAAATCTTTGTGATATTGTGTAAAATCTCCCTCTATGTAAACACGTCGTAATTTCGTGTGTTTACAAGCCCTATTTATAGTACAAAATAATGCTATTTGTAAACCCATTTAGAGTCATGATAGAACTCTAATATTGATTTGTGCTTTGGTTGTTGATGTCCCATACGTGCACGTCGGTTGGAGGCCGAGAAAGGTGGAATTACTGTATGAAAAACGGTGATCGAGCAGTTGGAGATCATCCCTTGCGGTGTTGGATGAGAAAAGAGATTAGGGTTCCTAAACAACCCTGAGTGGAACTGGGTCGTGAGGCTGCTTGGGTCACTGCTGGACCACGTGCGATGGACCACTGATGGGTTGTTAATTTTTTGTATTTGGGCCTGAAAATGTAATAAAAATGAAATGTAAATATATATGTATATAGATATATTATAGTATAATAACGCAAATGTGTTGGACAAAATTTAGTATCTTCAACTATACATATAATACTATTATTATGTAGAAATTCAATCTAATAATTTTATTAGTCAAGCAAAAAAGAATTATTGTATAAATGGATGGAATTAAATCCGAATTTATATTTCGTGCTAAATATGAAACACTAAATGGGTGAAGTGTAAAGGCAATAAGTGGATGGTGCAAATTAGGAGTGAGTCAATTGCGAGTTAGATAGTGCTCAACTCATTCTCGTTAAAAACTTTTGTTGCTCGACTTGATTCGTTAAGATAATTACTGAAAAAATTATATAAAAAAATTATTACCTTATTTCCTTAATTATAGGTAAAATTTGCTAATACTATAGAGCTTAATATAAATATAAATTAATAAATTTAACCAAAAATAATGTCAAAAGAGTGTATGAAACAATTTCAAAGTCTAAACTCCGAAGTAACAATTCACAAATACATTAAAATAATAAATATGGTTTGATTTTTCAGTGTAGTAAAATTCTAATTAATAATTTAGTATTTTTTATTATAAAATTAACAGATTAATAATTTATCATCTTTTCTATTATCTATGAGTAATTTTTTAGTGTAGTAAAATACTAATTAATAATTTAGTATTTTTATTTTTATTATAAAATTAATAGATTAATAATTTATCATCTTTTCTATTATCTATGAGTAAATTAGTATTTTTTGAATAAAATAATTTTTTAAGATAATTACTGAAAAAATTATATAAAAAAATTAGCGTGCTGCTCGTGAATTTATCGAATCGAGTTGGAGTTTGCTCGAATCAACTCGTTAATATCTCGAGTCGAGTTCGATTCAAATATAATCATCCCAAATCAAATTTTTATCAAACTTTGATCTAATCAAATCCGAATTACTTGCTTAACTCATTATTTACCGCTGGTGCAAATCTTTTGGACCCGAATAACTGAGAATGAAGGGCATGATGATTATCTTCTTCAAAATTCTTCTGCTTTAAAATTACTATAATATTATTTCCATAACTTGCCTTTGATCCTCTTTCCATTTGTTTCTAGTTTACGGACACGGAACCCTCCACCTGTTATCTTTCCTTTTCTTCCTTTGCCTTTTCCAATTCAAAGACTATCATGATTTTTTGTAGTATTAAATTTTGTTCCACGTCCCTCTACTCTTCGTATATTTAAAATTTAGTTTTCTTACTTTATTTTTTATGAATTTGATTAATTTACTTTTCAAATTTAAGTCTAACTATTAGCTCGTTAAAATTATTCTCTTAAACTTGGTAGTGTTACATTTTAAAATTGAAAAAAAATTGAAAGCTGTGTAATAAAAAATAACGTTAGTATGTATATGAATTTTTAACGATATTAACAATTGGACTCAAATTTATAAAATTGAAAGGTAGAGAGACTATTCCTTTTAGTTTTATTTTCTGTTTTCATTTCTATTTTTTTTATTTTATGTTTTATGGAAAACAAAAAACATTTTTGAAAAATAAAAATAAAATTTTGCTTTCAATAATTAAGAAAATATGTTTCGTACCTATTTTTTATGACAGAAATATTAAAAATAAAATAAAAAAATACTACATCTATACGAATTCGAACCAGGGTCAGACATTTCAATCAAAACATTTCCTCCTTTGTTCTCTATTTTCTAAGAAAAACGAAAAATAGTCTTTATTCTCTGAAACCAAACACGACCGAAATGTCTGAAAATAAAAGTACAAGGACTAAATTCAAAATGTACAAAAAGTATATGGACTTAAAATACATATTAACCTTTTGTAAAAGTAAAGAGAATAACAGTGTTCTTGGTTGAAGATAAGATAATTCAAGGGGAGAATAATAGTATTCTTAGTTGAAGATAAGATAAGAAAATTTGACAAATTTGTCTCCTTTTTCTTATTCTTTAGCAAATCTGCAAGGTTTAGCATTTGATACATAGACGAAGATAAAATTTTATGTCACGAATATAAATTTTTAAAATGTGTTTTAGAAATTTAAAGAGTGTGAAATTATAATATTTAAAAGATATAAAATAAGATCATTGAAAGAAAATAAAAGAACTTATATTATATAAAAATTAAATTTCAGATGCAATCACTAGGACTGTAAATGAGAAGAGACATATCGCGAGCTATTTGAGATCAATTCGGTCAAAGCTTGGTCAATACTCGAATCGAATGAGCTTCACTCGAGCTCAAACTCGATTCGAGTTCTTAAAGACCGAAACAAACTACTTGATACTCGATTTAAAAAGCTCACGACTCAAAAATAACATATTAATTTTTTTAATTAAATTATTAATAATATTATCATTTATGTGTTGTTGTTTTTTTAAATACAATTTAAGACTTTCATGTACTCAAGATTTGGGTTCGAGTTCGAGATTGAGTTTCAATATAGATAAGTCAGAGAATGTTTAGAGTTCAAGTTTTTTCAAGCTCGAGTTGAGCTTAAATTTTTTTATTTCAAGTCAAATTTAAAAATTTTAAGCTTTCGAGCCAAGTCGAACTTCAATTTTTTATTTCGAGTTGAGTCGAACTTGATAATTTTAAGTCGCAAACTTTTAAGTCGATTCGAACCTAAATTTAAAATTTTCGAATCGAGTCGAGCGATTATCAAAACTCAACTTGACTTATTTACAACACTAGCAACCGAACCCAACATCTTTTCGGTCCATTCCTGCTTTGACACCTGTGTGACCCTGTCCAGTCCAATATGTTATATTATATAAACCGTCTGCTGCAGAAACAAAGACAATTTGCGATATACATTCTCTTCTTCTTCTTCTTCCTTATTCCTCAACTTTGACAAAAATGTTGAGAAGAAAGAAGAAAAAGACAGCTTGCATGGGGATGGGAACACCGGTGCATGCATGATATTTTGTATCAGGAGATTTAAATTACGATCATGGTCGTATTTTCGGAGTGAACTTAATCGATATAGTATCACGTTACGTTACGATTGTAGTTTAAATCCTCTGTGAACGTATACCGTCGTCCTCTTCATGTTTCTCGTAGAGGATTTGAAGAGGGCAACAGGCAAGTCAATGAGGCAAAGGGAAGGCCATGCCTTTCTTCCTGATTTTACTTTTCTCATGTTGTAATGGATCTAATTCACTACTAGATTGAATGTATAAATGGGGTTGTTTCAGCTTTCCGGATTCAGAATTATATTTAGGGGTCTAAACCGAGTTTGAATGAATAAAATTGTGTTTATGTCGTTTATTTATTTTTTAAAGTATTTATGTTCAATTCGTGTTAGTTTAAATTTTTAATATTGTGTTCGTATTCGTTTATTTATTTTTGAATGTCTTTGTATTCATTTATTTATCGTTTATGATCATGTTCTTTTGTGTGTTCGTGAAATGGTGAAACTATGTCACGAATCCTTTATCTCCTTATGCTTCACAATTTGAACTTCAAACTTCAATTGTCTTCAATTTAGTCTTATCTTCACCAATTTTTAAAATGTAAAAATTAAAAGGAGATTATTTTTTAACTTGATTTTAGTATAATATCAAAAAGGGTATAGAAACCTAAGACCCAGTATTAAAACTTGTTTATGATATTGATATCAAAACTAATTTTTTAAGTACTTTTAAAATATTGAAACTTAGAGCAAGTATATTTGACCGAGTGATCATGTTCTCTTATAATCCCTTAGGTCATAGGTTCTAGAGTCAATAGAAGCATTTTTTTTCTAGAGTCTTTATTCTCATTCTCTCTAAGTAAAATTAGGATTAAATTTAGAATTTATCAAAAAATATATCGAAACTTAAAATAATATTGATACCTTTAATATGTACGGATACCTTAAAGAAACTATTGACAATTATAATTTTACCTTAAAACTTTCATATTTTGCAAAAAGGTCCCAACGTGATAAAATTGACTTCTAATCTATTGTTTGGAATTTTATAGTTGATTTAATTTGTTAATTGTTATGCTAACTTTTATGGTATTTTCAATACTACTTTTGCATGTTTTAAAAATAATATAATAGCTGTAAAGTTTTCAATTTAATCTCATTTCTGTTCCGACTTTTGAATATAATGTGTCTTCAACGTGTACTACGCGAATATTTTTTAGGAAAAAAAATCTTTATTTTTATTTGATAATGATAGGAAACAAACACTAGAAGACGATCAAATAAAACCATCTATATAAACTATTTCACCTAAATCAATCACTCTTAGTACATACACACTGCACTTCATATCTGAAACTACAGCAGTGTCATCTTCTCCAGCAGACTAGGGCAATTTCTCGGCAACCAAAAGGTAGAATAGCCCCATAAGTCCAGTATGTTGTTTGATATTACTATACTTGGACTCTAGAATTAGAGTCTCCCCTTTTGATATCTTCACACTCCCTGGTCTAGGATAGCAGGTGGACATTCCTACAACGTACCCAGATTCATTTCCGGCTTCGTTCCCTTTACCGTATTTCGGTATTGAAGAGCACAAAACTCGGCCACCCTGAAATCGCGATACAAAAACAGGTTCATCTCGATATCAGAAGGAAACATTACATTTTATGTACATGTACAGAATGACATTTCCATACCTTCCTATAGAGAGAAGAACCAGAACCTGCAGCATGTTGGTGTGCAACACCATATATCACATAGCCACTGAATGGCATGTCGAGACTAATCCTTTTGTTGTCAATGCATACGTTTCTCGTCGATCCCGTTGCTCGGCACGATTCAATGCTGTATTCAACCTGCATTATAGATACTTGATTAATTCCCAAAAATGAAATCATTGCAGCAAACAAACAAGTTGAACTATACCCTGCAATCGTGCTCTGAATTAATCCCGGTGGAATTTCTGGACCTCTTCCACATATCCGCAACGTCGAATATGTAAACTTTAACAGGCGTGATCGAGCTATCCATGTCAACCCACTCGACGGTGTATCGAAGGTAAAGTGTTCTTTTGATGCCATTAAACCCTTCTTTCCTCCTACAGCGTGTGCCATCATAGCAACATAACAAGCCCCCTTTGTAGTTTGGACTCAAAGGTTGTCCGGTTTCATCCCTCGTGACATTGTAAAGATCGCACCGGCATTCAGTGCATCCCATCGTATCTTCCGCTCCCCTCGTATCGATCGCATGAATGTTAATCGCCCACGTCTCGTCAAAACCAGAAGGAATCTCAGCAGGATTACCGATTTCTATTCCGTAAGGATCAGGAATATGAGTCGCAGTTTTTCGTGTCTCAGAACCAAGACCGAAGAACTGATCGAGTGTTCCATCGTTACATATCCCGCTGTTTCTTCCCGAGATATAATCCGAACTATTGAGTCTCGAAATGTCGCGAGTTCCCAAACCTTGACGTACAAAGAACCTCGCAACAATCCAGTGATGCAGATAAGTATCGTAGAGTGGAACTGGATTCCCAGCATCGTCAACAAGTTCGGCATTGAAACTTTTCAAGGCAATATGACCTCTCGGAAAATCGACGTCGAAATAGAGTTTATTCGACACCAATCCCGGTTCGAGCTCGACCTTAGGGGATAGAAAAACACCAGTCTTTACTCTCCCAAAGGCTTGTGAAAATGGCAGGCTTGAAGTCGCCAAAATTGCTACCAAAAGTAACCATCCAAGATTGAAACTTTCCATTTTTCCTGTCAGTTCAACATATAATCCCTTATAAACTAAATATTTCAATGGAATCAAGCAAATATATATATATATATATATATGAAGCGTACCTAACGTTCTGAGGAGATTCGGGCTTCAAGATTGAAGGTGATGCATTCCCATAGTTTTCAGTTCAATATATATAGTTATTTGAGACACGGAGACTTAACCGCCCATTTTGACCATATTTTAAAGCTTTTTTATTAAAAAATACACTATAAAGTTTAAATCAGAAAAGGGTAAAGTACACAAATGATCCCTCGATTATAGGGTGTTACTTTGTTGAATCCCCTAACTATTAAAGTTACAAAACGATCCTTCAACTATAGGGTGTTGCTTTTTCAAGTCATCTGACTATTAAAAGTTACAAAATTATCACTTAACTATTCATGTGTTCCAAACTTGTCATTTTACATTAAAAATTGGTCGTATGTCTGATATGGACGTTAACATGTTGATTGAAATATGAAAAATCTGATCTCAGAATTTATTTTAGTTGTATTTATGGATCGAATCTTCGTATATGTTATGCCATCGAGCTTGTACTTGAAATATTATGTTGTCGAGTCAATGCTTGAAAGCAACGACATTAAAATATAATTTTATCATGTCTCAGTCAACATGTTAACGTTCAACTCAAACAGGAGTCAATTCTTTTAAAAAGTACGATTTTGAAATATATGAATAATTAATTGACTATTTTATAACTTTTAATAGTCAAGAGGCTCAACAAAACAACATCTTATGGTTAGAGGTTTATTTTGTAACTTTTAATAATCATGAGACTCAATGAATCAATCCCTTGTAGTCGGGAAATCATTTGTATACTAGTTCATCACAAAATTATGTTAAATTTAGTATTTTATCGATAAACTTTCACGTTACAAAATGATTATTATAATTTTTACACTGTCACTTGTGTCGAAATGTTATAGACTAGTCGTTAAATTTATTGAAAATTAGTAACTATTTATAATGTTGTAGAGATATTTTTATAATAATTAGATGAATTTAATGTTTATTTTGTAACGTTTGAATGTTTAATGACCAAAAAGATTATTTTAGTATAGTTTAATGATTTCGATGTACTTTACCTTAAAATTTTAAGTTGAATAAAATAGTTTAAATATGTTAAAGTTCCTTATACTATTTTGTTTTTATAAAATTAGGTCTTTATATTGTTTTTATTTGAAAATCTTGATCTTACTCTTTTTAAAAAAAAATTATTGTTGACTGTTGACTTATCGATTGTAAATGTAGATGATTGAAAATTTATCAATTAATAATATTTTTTTATTAATTTTTAGATATTAAAAGTTAAATCAATAAAAAAGGTAAAATACACAAATGGTCCCTCCGACTATAAGGTTTTTTTTGTTGAGTTCTATGACTATTAAAAGTTGCAAAATGGTCCATCAACTCTATGGCGTTGTTTTGTTGAGTCCTTCGACTATTAGTTACAAAATTGTCACTGGACTATTCATATGTTCCAAACTCATCCTTTTCCATTAAAAAATTAATGCTCGTCTAAGCTTAGGGTTAACATGTTAATTTGGAAATGATAAATCAGATTCCAAAACCATTTAAGTTGTATTTTATAGATTGACTCTCCGTTTACATTATACCATTGAGTTAGTGCTTAAAATATTATATCGTCGAGTCAACACTTAAAAGTAATGGCAGTGCCAGTAAATATTATTAAAATATGATTTTATCATATCTATTCATCAAGTTAACGTCCAACTCAAACGACCATCAATCTTTTAAGAGGAAATGATGAGTTTGGAACATATGAATAGTCGGGTGACCATTTTGTAACTTTAAATAATCGGGGACTCAACAAATCAATATCATATAATCGTGGGATCATTTTATAACTTTTAATAGTTGAAAAAATCAAAAAAAAATATCCTATAGGTAGGAGATTATTTGTGTAATTTACTCTTGAAAAACCATAAATGTTAAAACCGAGAACATTATTTTATCTTTATGTTTATTGTTTGTTTTTCAAAAGTGGCTGCCAAGTAAGCCTGATTAGCAAGGAAACAACGTGTAATATTCTTGCTCACGTGGGCTCAAAACCGGAAATGTCAAAAGCAGAGGAAGACAAATGCCACTTGGCTGCTAAGTAAACCTGATTAGCAAGGAAACAACGTGTAATATTCTTGCTCACGTGAGCTCAAAACCGGAAATATCAAAAGCAGAGGAAGACAAATGCCACTTGATGACTTCAAGTTTGACCATATCTGCAGCCTCATTTAAAATAAGTTATATAAATTTATAATATTTTCGAATATATTTGAAAAGTTATATTACGGGAGTTTAAGGATTACGATCGAAAAAATTATAAAGAATATAACATTTTTATTACAATCGAAAATATTTTGAAGAAATTAATATTTTTTATTGGTATTACAATCGAAAATATTATAAAAAATATAACATTTTCTATTACACTCGAAAATATTTTGAAGAAAGTGATGTTTTTTATTGTAACATGTCCAACAAAAAAAAAGTTACTGTATTTAATAAGATTTTTAGTTACAATCAATTTCTATCGTTTTTAACATTATATTAACAATTTGTATTTTATAATTTCTTATATATTTTAGCCATAGTGTATTTTAGTATTTAAATTTTATTTTATTATAATAAATTAATAATTTGGTTCAATTAACTTTAATTTATATTTATATGGCTTATATAAATTTGTATGTTTACATACATCAATAAATAAATTAAGACCCTAACAAAATTTTAACATTGTAAATGAAAAATAAAATTAAGTTGATAAATTATCTTCATAATGAGTTTCTACATTCTTTAGTATTTATTTATTTATTTATTTATTTTAGTACGATAAAGTTTAAATTAAGAGTGACTCCCTCAGTCCAGAGTCAAGACGTACAAGTTGTCTTTTAATATAAAATCATAAAATTTAAATTTCGATATCAAAACTTAGAGTGAGTAGAGAAAACATTAACTGTTAATTTCTTTAAGATATATCAATCATTTCTTAACTGATATTAATTTTATTTTTAATATTTTTAAGTAAACTTTATAAAGATTTTTTTCCAACCAAAAGAAATAAAGATTTATCTTTTAAAATCAAATGCAAAATCTGAGTTCTAATAGTCAAATTCAGTACTTACCTAGATTTTTCTTTGAAACAAAATAGAAAAGATCAGTTTTAATATTTAAAAAAAGTTGAACTTTATGAGGTTTGTTTTTAAATAAAATAGAAAATTCTCATTTTTTAATATTTAATTTTTTGACTATTATGAGATTAAAGAAAAAACAAAACAGAAGTGTATAAGAACAAAATGCATAAATTTATATATCAATGATAGAAGAAAATATGATATTTACCTTTAAAATATATTACTTCTTCACTTAATAAAAACCAAATTCATTAAATGGTCTCAATGATAGAAAAAAATATTATTTTCCTTAAAGATTAATGGAAATATAATACTACGTTTGAAAGATGTGTGTGAGTTCAAATAATATTATAAGGCGTTGTTTTGTAACTTTTAATAGTCGAAAAGTATAAGTAAGTCTAAATACAAATATATAATAATTTTAAATTTATTAATTTAGTTGAATCTATCAAGTAGCTTCAGTGATAAAAAAATTATTTTTTTTAGAGATTCTGAGTTTAAACAATTATTATTATTATTTTTACTTCATTACACGCTCATCTTAAGATCATTGTCGAGAAATTTGTGTTCGAGATGCGGTTGAATTAGATAGGGCATGATAGTTTCACTTCGGAGCTCCTTGATAAACGAGGTGGTGGTTGTGGTGGTGGTGCAGTTGAACTCTCGGATAGGTACATCCACTCTCGGATAAGATGAACTCTTTGTAAATATTTGTTTTTCTCTCTTTACAATTTAAAAAAATATGTTGATCGGTCAATAGTTATTTTTTGTTGTTGAACACGTGTCTATCTTGAGATCTAAGTTTATTTAGGTTAATTATTCATTTTACCGATGATGTTCATCTTAAAACTTTATTTGTTTCTATTCAATACAAAAAGTGGATATTATTAATAAAATATATGTACTTTAAAAAATATTTTTGAATTGGTCGTTGATGAGGATGATGCTCTTGGTATGCTCTTTGGAGGACTGGAACGTTGCGCACTATTAGGTTATTTGGGTGATAGATGGGCCATGGTGCATTGCTTATAGCATCCGAACTTGCCATGGTTGGGATGGGCTTGAACCTATGCGTGGGAGGCTGTTAAAGATGGGATATATGTGATCATGACATAATCGAGTCACTTAATCAATTTATGGCTAAACTATATATTTAGTACGTAATTTATCGTTTTTATTTTGTTTTGGTCACTCAATTATTCTTTTTCAAAACCATACCTAATATTTAGTTTTTTTTTCAATTTAGTCATACACCATTAAAAAATTAAAGATAACACTATCTCATCGTTGAAAAAAAATTAAAAATATATAATATCAGCAATTCTGTTAGTTTTTTAACGGTCGATGACCAAAATATAACGTTAGGTAAGATTTTGAAAAAAATAGTTGAATCACTAAAATGAAACAAAAGTGATAATTGAGGTATTAAATGTGTAGTGTATCCTTAACTTATCGTAACAATTAAATTATTGTATCATTAAATCATAAACGAGTTTGAATTGAAATATTTTAATAAAAAAAAGTCTACATGTTTCAAAAAGTTACAATAAAGTTAATTAATTGATTGTCTATAATAATAAGATCATATGCAATATAAAATCTAGTTGTTTATAATGATCGATGAACTCCAAATTGCACCATAAAATCCACCTCGATCTCTTCGCCTTATTCATAAGATTAGATTCTTGAAAGCTCTCTTAAAATCCACGAAATCACCTCAAAAACATTTAAACTTCTTGAATCCCGATCTACATCATCCAACACCAGATAACCTCGTCTTAGGTATGACATTCCTCTCACAAATTGAAGCATATCCATCGTTCAAATTATCGAATAGAGCCCATAATATTCGAGAAGGCCGAAACAAAATATCCATTTGTAACAAAATTAATTGAGTGACTCGTTTGTAACTTTTTGAAATATTGTGACATATTTGTAAATTTACTAATTATAGAGAGGCATGTGGTTTAATTTTCCAAAAAACACTTAGATAAAATTGTTTTCTAAAGACACCTTTTATTATCCATTTGATATTTAATTATAATATTATAATTTGATTAATTAAATGATTCGATTGTAATTTTCTGAAATATAATATTTCATTTGTTATCTTACTAATAATAGAATATCTATGATATAATTTACCCTATAAAAAATCAAAACTGCACATAATTGGAACTAATCAACCCATTTAATTTTGGCATAACACCAAAACTAGCCCCTAACATTTACCAAAATGATCATTTTGAACCATATTCTTTTTTTAGCATTTTTGCCCACAATGTTTCTCTTTGGGACATAAAGCTCCCTATAGATGAAAATTATTAGTTAGCACACTATTAACGCTTCAAAATATGACTATTTTTAACTTAAAATGAAACGTTGAATACTAAAATGCATTAGAAAAAAAGAATAAATGACAAAATAATTATTCTATCAAATATTATGGCCTTTTTATCTTAAAAAACGTCAAAGATCAAAATATTCTAAAAAAAATAAGAGACAAAATGATAATTCTAATAAACATTGTTCCTAATTTTATCATTATGCTTTTGATTTTTAGAGAGGGTGACCTAACATCTTTACTTGGATTAGATTAGGCCACGATTCATTTCCCTCGTCTGGTTAAAATTTATAGGGTAAACTACACTGGTAATCACTATTTTTTAGGATACTTATACTGTGGTTACTAAACTTTTAAAATTTATATTATAGTTGTTATTTTTTTTAATTCACTTTCATTACTTTAGTAATTTTGATGTTGCACATTAAAGTTTTATTTTACCTAAAAAAATCCTTAATTTTCAAAATTAATAGTCATTGCAAGAGCTCAAGTTTTTTATGAACGGAATGATCGTTAAGTCATTCCAATGGTGAGAAATGGGAATGCTCAAATTGTCCAAAAGATTAAAATATTTTGATTTCAAGTTGATTTAATTGTTAATAATAGCATATTGAAAAGTTTTTACTTTTAGTTTCTATTGGATTATCGTCGTTTCTACTATCATTTGATGATTTTTTTATCGAAAAGATCATTAAACTTCTCCTTTCTTTCATTCACTTCAAACCAGTTAAATAACCTTACAATCTCTTCGAATCTTAATCAAAAATAAAAATTATTTTGAAATTAAATTATATCAATCTTCTAATCAAACATATTTTTTCGATCGTTGGAGTTGATCGATAACTGATTCGTTAGTTTTTTTTTGGCTTTTTGCACCTATAAATTTGAAATCTTTAGAGATTTTCTTAGAACAAACCTTTAATTTGCTACGTCAATATTTCGTAAAGGCAGCTAATGGCAGTAACAATAATGAAGTAGATTAAAAGTTTGATGATTGTAACGTACGTCTTAAAGAGTTTATGACCAAATTGAAAGGGATCTAAACGTTTCAATGACTAATAAAGCAGTTTACTCAAACTTTTAATTTTAATTTATTATCATAATTTGATTTTTAATTTTCCTCCCGTTCTCCAGTGTTCAAGAATCGTTCGTTAAGCCAATGGCCACCCTCAGAATAGCTCTTCGTAACGCCCGCCGTATTGTTAATACTTCCACCGTCGCCGACCGTACAACCACCGTATTCAGGTATTCACTAACCTTTTATCCTTGTACCTTTGTTTGCTTTTCTTAGTTTTCTTTTGCGTTAGTAAAATTTGTTCTTTATCAGGCCGCAGTATGGCTGGGTTTCAAGATATTCATCTACGGATTTTAGTAACACTCAGCCACTGAACATCGATCTTTCGAACGAAGAAAGCAAAAGGCGTCTTTTTAACAGGTTAGCTTCCTGGAGTACCTTTTTTTTCAGTTCTGATCATCAAAATTTACCTGGATTTTGAATTTTTGATGGACCCCTGTTTTGGGTTTTTACAGATTGTTGTATAGGAGCAAACAAAGAGGGTTTTTGGAGCTGGATTTGGTTTTGGGAAAATGGGTTGAGGAACATATCCATTCTATGGATAAAAATGGAATTAAAGCTCTTGTTCATGTCCTTGATTTGGTATTCTTCTCTTTTTCTCCCTTTATTGAAATATAAAAGTTCTTTTTTGATTGCTTATAAGCTAAATTTACATGTCCTTGATTTGGTGTTGCCTTTAGGTTAGTGTTCATGCCTTGTTTTCTGTTCAATTTAAGTAATAAAGCTGCTTGCTATGCTAATATGTTTAAAGGGATTCATTATTGTTGGTGGAAACAAATGTCTCAAAGACGCTATAGGCAGTTCAGTAGTTCACCCCTTCTAGTTTGGGCGGAGAACTGCAGCTGTGGGTTAAACAGTCTTTACTCAGTATGAAGATTCTCTTTTGTGAGGAAGAAGGATTGGTGTCTGGATGTCATAAAAACCGATCCCCTCTCCCGATTTTGATTGAAAGGTTTTATAGGAATCCTTGGGGTTGGTCATAAACGTAAGCCTATGATGGCTATATGTAGGTTTACAGGATAGATATGTCTGCTTGACTTGAACACTTGTCGATTGATTCTAACAAATCACTTGAGACCTGCTAGAAGTCATGTCGAAAGTTTGTTTCCCGAGGGATATAAGATTCCAGGTGCTCTGTGTCCAGAGATGTTTTTTTAGGGCCTCCTTTATGGAGGAGTTCTCAGGAAGTTTTGACGTGCGATGTTGGGTTATAACAATTATCTAATTCTATATTATCAATAATGCTCTTATTCATGTCCCTGATTTGGTATTCTTCTTTATTCTCCATCTTTTGTTTAAAGGGTTCATTTTTTATTGCTTATAAGCTGAATTTACATGCGTTTAAAACTATATCTGAATCTTGTCAATTGAAGCATCGCCTGAGCATTCATGCTTCGCTCTCTGCTCAATTCATGCTTTGGATTGCCTTTCTGGAATTTTTTATCGGCAACTAATGTTGGCTCTCCATTTTATATCTTGGCTTGCACCTTAAGCTTAAACTGTCGGATATGAATCTTCACTTATCAACTTTAGCCTTGGTTTGCTTCTAACCTTTCTCGTTACTAGGGGAGAACAGTCGGTAGCCTCAGGCAGTTTAACTGAAAATACTGAAATGCCAATTCAACTGACCTAACCAAACCTGCTTAACATCGGATGTTTAAGTCGGTTATTTAGATCTTATAGGCAGACAACTGTTATTGTCATTTAGTGGCATCTAGTGATACTGAATTCTAAATATGCTAGAATTGGTTTGATCTATTCGTTTTTTACCAGCAATGCTCCTGTTGCAATTCTATGCTTATCGTCAAATACTGTCGACTCTCCATTTTTTTATCTTGGCTTGCATCTTAACCTTGAACTGTCTGGCTATTGATCTTCACTTATCAACTTAAGCCTTGGTTTGCTACTAACCTTTCTCATTACTAGGGGAGAATAGTCGGTCGCATCAGGCAGTTTAACTGAAAATACTGAAAAACCAATTCAACTGACTTAACCAAACCCGCTTAACATCAGTTGTAACCACCTAAAGTTCCATCTTAATTGACTTGGCTGAACTGACTTGACCGAAGGTTATCTGTTAAGTCAGTTTGAACCGACTTTTGCTGGGTCCAACTCGTCAGTGAGATGATTTTGATGTTGGCCATATAAATTGACAGCAGATAGTAGAGGCTAGCAATGTGTTTTCTTCCAACGGATGATATCACTTAACATATTAAGTAAACCAATGAACATGTATCTCTATCCATAAAACTCTATAAAATCATATAAATGATCTTTCTCAACACTAGTTTTTAGGAGAGGGATCAACAAATCATGCATCTCATTAGCATCCAAATGCTTTCATATTTGTCTTGAGACTTATATTTCTCTTTCGCAGGAAAACCCCGACCTCTGGAAATGGTTAACGGGTCAAGAACAACCACCTGAATTGGTGATGGTTAATCCTGTAAGAGATGATCTAAAATATACAGCACCAGTATTCCCATTATTTCCCAGTATTCTTATATGATCTTTTGGTTGTATAGGTTTTCTCTGCAGTGCAAGAGAAGGTCTTGAAAAACCTCAGCGACCATTCTTCACCCGAGACCCAAGCAACCCCCGGCCAGCCATGGGTGAGAGGGTGGGATGATATCAAGAAAGGCCACGATAGCCCTATCACCGGAAACCAGTAGCTTTTTGTTTGCCTTTGAGATTGCAGGTTCTGAAGGCAGTTCAGTTTCGAACAAATTAGGATTCATATATGTATTTGGTCGATATGGTATACTGGAATATGAATAAGGGTGGCTGCATAGCAGCAATGAAGCTGGAGGTGTGAGCAGGCCGTTTCTGAGATGGTGGCCGTAGGGCGAACTAAAAAAATTAGTCCCTTGATCTAGGATTTAAATTACAATTTGCATTTGTGTCTTCGACCTCGTTGTGTTTATCACTATTGCGGACATAACTAATGATATCAAGAAAGGCCGCGATAGCCCTATCACCGGAAACCAGTAGCTTTTTGTTTGCCTTTGAGATTGCAGGTTCTGAAGGCAGTTCAGTTTCGAACAAATTAGGATTCATATATGTATTTGGTCGATATGGTATACTGGAATATGAATAAGGGTGGCTGCATAGCAGCAATAAAGCTGGAGGTGTGAGCAGGCCGTTTCTGAGATGGTGGCCGTAGGGCGAACTAAAAAAATTAGTCCCTTGGTCAAGGATTTAAATTACAGTTTGCATTTGTGTTTTCGACCTCGTTGTGTTTATCGCTATTGCGGACATAACTAATGATATTACGATCACTGCGAATATCGTGGTTGTGAATTTTTAATAACATATGTTATTATGGACGTTGTGGATATCACGGTTTTGGATAATCTCATTTCCACTACATAATGGTCGTTGTTTTGGTCACATATCATTATTTAAATAATTGTTCTTAAAAATAAGTGTTGATAAAAATAAATAAGTTTTAAGTGTAGCTTCGTAATAACAAGTATTGAAAAAAACGGATCTCTAATAACAAGTATTAAAAAAAGTAAATTTTAAGGGTACGCTCATAATAACAAATATTAAAAAATTGAACTCATAATAACGAATAAATATTAAAAAAGAAATTAAATTTAGATATCTTCAACTTAGTTTCTATCTTCATCCATATTTAAAATATAAAAAATTAAAGGAGAAGGAGAACATGATAAACGAGCTTATAAACGTGTCAATGAATGAACTTGTTTGTAAATATAAATAAATCGAACGCACATTTTTTTAATATTACGACCATTAAATATTGATACTTAAAATATTTGATTCTAACAAATAAATTTTTTATTTTCGGACTTGATTTTAGTATAATATCAAAAAGGGTATAGAAACCTAAGACCTAGTATTAAAACCTGCTTATGATATTGATATCAAAACTAATTTTTTTAAGTACTTTTAAATTATTGAAACTTAGAGTAAGCATATTTAATTGGTTGATCAAGCTCCTCATCTTTATTCTCTCATATTCCCTTCGGTTATAGGTTCTAGACTCACTAGAAGCATTCTCCATTCTTCTATTTAGAATTTATCAAAAAAAAATATCGAAACTTAAAATAATATTGACACCTTTAATAGGTACGGATGCCTTAAAGAAACTATTGAAAATTATAATTTTACCTTAAAACTTTCATATTTTGCAAAAACGTCCCAACGTAATAAAATCGACTTCTAATCTATTGTTTTGAATTTTATAGTTAATTTAATTTCTTAATTGGTCTGCTAGCTTTTATGGTATTTTCAATACTAATTTTGCATGTTTTAAAAATAATATAATAGCTGTAAAGTTTTCAATTTAGTCTGATTTCTGTTCCGACTTTTGAATATAATGTGTCTTCAACGTGTACTACGCGAATATATTTTAGGAAAAAAATCTTTATTTTTATTTGATAATGATAGGAAACAAACAACTAGAAGACAATCAAATAAAACCATCTATATAAACTATTTAACCTAAATCAATCACTCTTAGTACATACACACTGCACTTCATATCTGATACTACAACAGTGTCACCAGATAACCTCGTATTAGATATGTTATTCCTCTCACAAATTGAAGCATATCCATCGTTCGAATTATCGAATAGAGCCCATAATATTCGAGAAGCCCAAAACAAAATCATCTATTTGTAACAAAATTAATAGAGTGACTCGTTTGTAACTTTTTGAAATATCGTGACATATTTGTAAATTTACTAATTATAGAGAGACATGTGGTGTAATTTTCCCAAAAAACACTTAGATAAAATTGTTTTCTAAAGACACCTTTTATTATCCATTTGATATTTAATGACAATATTATAATTTGATTAATTAAATGATTCAATTGTAATTTTCTGAAATATAATATTTCATTTGTGAACTTTCTAATAATAGAATATCTATGATGTAAGTTACCCTATCAAAAATCAAACTGCACATAATTGGAACGAATCAACCCATTTAATTTTGGTATAATACCAAACCTAACCCCTAATATTTACCAAAATGATCATTTTAAACCATATTCTTTTTTTAGCATTATTGCCCCTAATGTTTTACTTTGGGACCTAAAGCTCCTTATAGATGAAAAAAATTAGTTAACACACGATTAACACTCTAAAATATAAGCTTTTTAACCTATAATGAAACGTTGAATACTAAAATACCTTAGAAAAAAGAATAAATGACAAGGTAATTATTCCATCAAATGTTATGTGTTTTTTGTCTTAAAAGAAACGTTGAGGATCAAAATATTCTAAAAAAATAAAATAAGAGATAAAATGATCATTTTAATAAACGTTGGTGTTAATTTTTTTCATTATGCTTTTAATTTTTAGAGAGGGCGACCTAACATCTTAGATTAAATTAGGCCACGATTCATTTCCCTCTTCTGGTTTAATGTATAGAGTAAACTATATTGGTAGTCACTAATTTTTAGGATGCTTTCACTGTGGTCACCAAACTTTTAAATGTTATATAATAGTCATTAATTTATTTAATTCACTTTCATTACTTAAGTAACGTTGATGTTGCACATTAAAGTTTTATTTTACCCAAAAAAGACTTAATTTTCAAAATTAATAGTCATTGCAAGACCTCAATTTGTCCAAAAGATTAATACATTTCGATTTCAAATTGATTTAACTGTTAATAATAGCATATTGAAAAGATTTTACTTTTAGTTTCTATTGTATTATCGTCGTTTTTATTATCATTCGATGATTTTTTTCGATCAAAAATATCATTAAACTTCTCATTTCTTTCATTCACTTCAAACCAGTTAAATAACCTTGCAATCTCTTTGAATCTTAATCAAAAATAAAAAAAAGTTAAAACTTTTTGATCTACCATTTTTAACCATTAAATTAGTTTGAAATTAGATTATATCAATCTTCTAGTCAAATAGATTTTTTCGATCGTTGGAATTGATCGATAATTGCTTCGTTAGTTTTTTTTTTGGCTTTTTGTAGCTATAAATTTGAAGTCTTTAGAGATTTTATTAGAACAAGCCTTTAATGTGCTACATCAATATTTCTTAACGGCGGCTAATGGTAGTGACAATAATGAAGTAAATTAAAAGTTTGATGATTATAATGTAAGTTTTAAAAGTTTTATGACCAAATTGAAAGGGATCTAAACGTTTCAGTGACTAATAAAGTAGTTTACTCAAACTTTTAATTTTAATTTAGAGTAAAGGATAGTAATGGTCACTGAACTTTTCTAAAGTTTTCATTTAGGTCTCCTAACTTTTAAAACTTTCAATTCAATCCCCTGACATTTAGTCTGTTTGCAATATGGTCCCGATGTAACTGTTGGGAGACCATATTGCAAACAGACTAAATGTTGGGAGACTGTATTATAAGTTTTAAAAGTTGGGGACCTAAATGAAAGCTTTATAAAAGTTCAGTGACCATTACTATACTTTACCCATATTTATAATGGTGCCCCCACTTCATCATACCTACATACAAAACAATACAGTCTCTTGTCCTTTTTAAAATCCTCGATTGTTATTTCATTAAGATTGATGGAAGTTTTCTTTGTGAAAATGGACCCAAGACTATTTCGTTCTCAACGGTAAACCATTTATTTTCTCTGTAGAAATGGAAATTTCTCGAGCTGAAGTTAAAGCCTTGAAAAAACAAAGAGTTGGGGAGAGAAATATATGAAGCAATGAGGGGTCAGGAGCCACGTTCCACTTCTTCCTGTGCCGCCTGCAAGCTCTTGAAAAGGAGGTGCACTCCCAACTGTATTTTCGCACCCTATTTCAGATCAGATGAGCCGAAGAAATTCGCCAAAGTGCACAAGGTTTTCAGTGCTAGCAACGTGAGCAAGATTCTGATCGAAGTGCCGGAAGAGCAGCAGGAAGACAGTGAATTCACTGGCGTACGAGGCCGAAATAAGGCTCAAGGACCCGGTCTATGGTTGCATTGGTGCCATAGCTTTGTTACAGAGGAAGATGATCCAGCTTCAACATGATTTGGCCCTTGCTCGAGCATGTTTGGCTTGGTACACCTCCGCTATCGGAAGCACCGATGATGATCGGGTTATCACAGAGCCTTTCGGTGGACTATCGGCTGATTGCAGAGGATGTATCGACAGTTTTAGCCAGAATCTTTCATACAAATTGAATCAGGAAGCACATGTGTATGATTTTAGCTAAATTCCGTATGTATAAGAGATTTCTCTCTTGTTGATTGGTAGCTTGATAGTGTTTAAACCTATTATCTATCTCCTAAGATAAAGTTTGAATAATATCAGGAATCAAAAGAGTTTTTGTGAAAAGGTGATGGTAATGTAGGACAGGATGACGGCTTCAGTTCGGCTAACTATGCCGCCCATAAACACATGGTAGTGGTGATCATAAGCCAATTCTTACTCATTTCTTCAAAACTCATATGATAACCCTTCCCACTGTCACCCTGTGGGTCGTGTCCCTGTCCTCTCTACCCTTGCTAATCATTCAAATGTATTGTAATGTCGAATGTGAAATTATATTTGAAATTTTTTATACATCATTTAAAATATTATATTATTTTATTTTATAAAAGTATAACATTATAGTGTTTTGTTTACAAAATATAAATTTGTTTGGGAATAAATCTTATCAAATCATCTTTATTTTTAACGGGTTAAATATTTACGAATACAATTTGATATTCAGATTTTCTATAATTAAAAATAGGGTAAAGTATAATAATGGTCACTGAACTTTTCTACAACTTTCATTTAGGTCCCCAATTTTAAAACTTATAATACAGTCCCCCAACATTTAGTCCGTTTGCAATATGGTCCCCCAACATTTAGTCTTTTGAAATGTGGTCCCCGATATAATTGTTGGGAGACCATATTGCAAACGGACTAAATGTTGAGGGGCTGTATTGTAAGTTTTAAAAGTTGTAGGACCTAAATGAAATATTTTGAAAAATTCAGTGACCATTACTATACTTTACCCTTTAATTTATTATCATATTTTGCTTTTCAATTTTCCTCCCGTTCTCCAGTGTTCAAGAATCGTTCGTTAAGCCAATGGCCACCCTCAGAATAGCTCTTCGTAACGCCCGCCGTATCATTAATACTTCCACCGTCGCCGACCGTACAACCACCGTATTCAGGTATTCACTAACCTTTTATCCTTGTACCTTTGTTTGCTTTTCTTAGTTTTCTTTTGCGTTAGTAAAATTTGTTCTTTATCAGGCCGCAGTATGGTTGGGTTTCAAGATATTCATCTACGGATTTTAGTAACACTCAGCCACTGAACATCGATCTTTCGAACGAAGAAAGCAAAAGGCGTCTTTTTAACAGGTTAGCTTCCTGGAGTACCTTTTTTTTTCAGTTCTGATCATCAAAATTTACCTGGAGATTTTGATTTTTTGATGGACCCTTGTTTTGGGTTTTTACAGATTGTTGTATAGGAGCAAACAAAGAGGGTTTTTGGAGCTGGATTTGGTTTTGGGAAAATGGGTTGAGGAACATATTCATTCCATGGATGAAAATGGAATTAAAGCTCTTGTTCATGTCCTTGATTTGGTATTCTTCTCTTTTTCTCCCTTTATTGAAATATAAAAGTTCTTTTTTTGATTGCTTATAAGCTAAATTTACATGCCCTTGATTTGGTGTTGCCTTTAGGTTAGTGTTCATGCCTTGTTTTCTGTTCAATTTGAGTAATAAAGCTGCTTGCTATGCTAATATGTTTAAAGGGATTCATTATTGTTGGTGGAAACAAATGTCTCAAAGACGCTATAGGCAGTTCAGTAGTTCACCCCTTCTAGTTTGGGCGGAGAACTGCAGCTGTGGGTTAAACAGTCTTGACTCAGTATGAAGATTCTCTTTTGTGAGGAAGAAGGATTGGTGTCTGGGTGTCATAAAAACCGATCCCCTCTCCCGATTTTGATTGAAAGGTTTTATAGTAATCCTTGGGGTTGGTCATAAACGTAAGCCTATGATGGCTATATGTAGGTTTACAGGATAGATATGTCTGCTTGACGTGAACAGTTGTCGATTGATTCTAACAAATCACTTGAGACCTGCTAGAAGTCATGTCGAAAGTTTGTTTCCCGAGGGATATAAGGTTCCAGGTGCTCTGTATCCAGAGATGTTTTTTTAGGGCCTCCTTTATGGAGGAGTTCTCAGGAAGTTTTGACGTGCGGAGTTGGGTTATAACAATTATCTAATTCTATAGCATCAATAATGCTCTTATTCATGTCCCTGATTTGGTATTCTTCTTTATTCTCCATCTTTTGTTTAAAGGGTTCATTTTTGATTGCTTATAAGCTGAATTTACATGCGTTTAAAACTATATCTGAATCTTGTCAATTGAAGCATCGCCTGAACATTCATGCTTCGCTCTCTGCTCAATTCATGCTTTGGATTGCCTTTCTGAAATTCTTTATCGGCAACTAATGTCGGCTCTCCATTTTATATATTGGCTTGCACCTTAAGCTTAAACTGTCGGATATGAATCTTCACTTATCAACTTTAGCCTTGGTTTGCTACTAACCTTTCTCGTTACTAGGGGAGAACAGTCGGTAGCCTCAGGCAGTTTAACTGAAAATACTGAAATGCCAATTCAACTGACCTAACCAAACCTGCTTAACATCGGATGTTTAAGTCGGTTATTTAGATCTTATAGGCAGACAACTGTTATTGTCATTTAGTGGCATCTAGTGATACTGAATTCTAAATATGCTAGAATTGGTTTGATCTATTCGTTTTTTACCAGCAATGGTCCTGTTGCTATTCTATGCTTATCGTCAAATACTGTCGGCTCTCCATTTTTTTTATCTTGGCTTGCATCTTAACCTTGAACTGTCTGGCTATTGATCTTCACTTATCAACGTAAGCCTTGGTTTGCTACTAACCTTTCTCATTACTAGGGGAGAACAGTCGGTCGCCTCAGGCAGTTTAACTGAAAATACTGAAAAACCAATTCAACCGACCTAACCAAACCCACTTAACATCGGTTGTAACCACCTCAAGTTCCATCTTAACTGACTTGGCTGAACTGACTTGACCGAAGGCTATCTGTTAAGTCAGTTTGAACCAACTTTTTCTGGGTCCGACTCATCAGTGAGATGATTTTGATGTTGGCCATATAAATTGACAGCAGATAGTAGAGGCTAGCAATGTGTTTTCTTCCAACGGATGATATCACTTAACATATTAAGTAAACCAATGAACATGTATCTCTATCCATAAAACTCTATAAAACCATAGAAATGATCTTTCTCAACACTAGTTTTTGAGGAGAGGGATCAACAAATCATGCATCTCATTAGCACCCAAATGCTTTCATATTTGTCTCGAGACTTGTATTTCTCTTTAGCAGGAAAACCCCGACCTCTGGAAATGGTTAACGGGTCAAGAACAACCACCCGAATTGGTGATGGTTAATCCTGTAAGAGATGATCTAAAATATACAAAGGTTGCACCGGTATTCCCATTATTTCCCAGTATTCTTATATGATCTTTTGGTTGTATAGGTTTTCTCTGCAGTACAAGAGAAGGTCTTGAAAAACCTCAGCGACCATTCTTCACCCGAGACCCGATCAACCCCCGGCCAGCCATGGGTGAGAGGGTGGGATGATATCAAGAAAGGCCGCGATAGCCCTATTACCGGAAACCAGTAGCTTTTCGTTTTCCTTTGAGATTGCAGGTTCTGAAGGCAGTTCAGTTTCGAACAAATTAGGATTCATATATGTATTTGGTCGTTATGGTATACTGGAATATGAATAAGGGTGGCTGCATAGCAGCAATGAAGCTGGAGGTGTGAGCAGGCCGTTTCTGAGATGGTGGCCCCAGGGCGAACTAAAAAAATTAGGCCCTTGTTAAGGATTTAAATTACAGTTTGCATTTGTGTTTTCGACCACGTTGTATTTATCGCTATTGTAGACATAACTGATGATATTACTATCGCTGTGAATATTGTAGTTGTGAATTTTTAATAACATATGTTATTATGGACATAACGGTAGTGGGTATCACGGTTTTAGAAAATGTCGTTACCACTACATAATGATCGTTGTTTTGGTTATATATCATTATTTAAATAATTATTCTTAATAGTAAGTGTTAAAAAAAATTTAAAGGGTAGCTCTATAGTAACCAGTATCGAAAAAAATAGGTCTCTAATAATAAGTATTAAAAAAAGTAAATTTCAAGAGTATACTCATAATAATAAATACTAAAAAAAATGGGTCACTACTCGAAAGTATTTAAAAAATGAACTCATAATAAAGAATAAATATTAAAAAAAAATTGAATTTTGAAAGTATATCCTTAATAACAAATATTAAAAAATTAGACCTATGATAATAAGTATTAGAAAATTTGATCCTTAAAAACAAATATTAAAATATTAACAAGAATTTAGAAATTTATACAAATATTAAAAAAATTATAAGAGTAGACCTCTAATAATAAATATTAGAACAAAATTAAACCCATAATAATAAATATTAGAGAAAAGTTAAACCCTTAACCATAAGTATTAAAAATAATCGATATAAAACTATTATTTTATACATTATAAAAAATTTAGGTTCTGAACAAGTGTCTCCTGCTCAAACCCAAATACAGCCCTAAATGTGAGAAACTAGACCTGTACTTAATTTGAAATTAGAGATGCATATAACCGGATTTAAATCTGATTCGGATCGGATAAAAATCGATCCGGTTTTTTTACTAAGTCAAAAAATCGGTTTATAAAAAAATCGGTTCGGATCATAACCGGTTTGGAGAGCCGGATGATGTAACCGGTGTAACCGGTTTCGGTTTGAAAAAAACTGGATTTTTAAAAAAACCAGTTTTTAATCCGGTAAAAAATCCGGTCATCCAATTTTTTAAACCCCAGACCGGATTTTTAAACCCCAGACCGAATTTTTTTCGGATAAAAAACCGGTTTTTTATCCGGTTTTTTTCAAACCGGTTTTTAATCCGGTAAAAAATCCGGTTGTCCAATTTTTTCTCAAACCGGTTATACTATCCGGTTTTAAAATATCCGATCCGATTTAAAGAAAACCGATTTTTCCCAAATCCTATTTTAAATATTTTTTACACAAAATCTGATATTCAGATTTTTTGTGCACCTCTACTTGAAATAATAAACGATGACTCCACCCATTTGATTTGTTTTCCACGACTCAATAATTTTTTCGGACCACCACAAAATGATTTTGACATTAGCAATAAGTACTCTATGCCCTACATGATTAATACAACCCTTTTTAATTAATCATCAAGGTCACGTTTTATTAAGTTAATTCCATTTATGATAATGTATCGTAAAACCAAATCATGTATTCTTACCCCAAATATAATTGAACCTTTTCTGAAAAATTCCATCTTATTATAGTCATAAGAGTAGATTATGAGAACGGATATAAAATTTTATATTGCGGTGACACGCTTCTAAAATTTTAAAGAACGACAATAATTTATCAATAAAAAATATAAAAGAATATTTAAATTATATTATAAATAAAAATTTTAAGAGTGACAGTTTCTGCATCCATCCTACCTCGACCCATCCCGGATAATTATAATCTTAAGAGTATTGGATTAAAGATTGATAAATAAGGTCTAGCAAGGGCTACCTACCGGACAGCAATGCCATGAATATGCAATTAAACTTCCCAACGGTCGAGGCAGGCAGCTAAATTGAATGCCCAACACAGCCTTCCCGGGACTTTCTTTAATGTTCGACCCATCATCTACTCGGTGAAGAAAATAGGCTTAATGAATAAAAATATATCTAAATTGTACCTTTTTATTAATTTTAGGTATTTAAAATATTTTTCCAAGTATATCTTTAACATTTTTAACATTATCTTTTTATGCCCCTACGTTATAACGATTATTAAAAAAATTAGTTAAAAATAAGTCAATCGATCGATATTTCACACGTGATTTAATTTTTAATTTATTTAAACCATTTTTTAAAAAATAAAATTTATAAATTTCAAAAACCAACCCCTATATTTTTTTTTTCACAAAACACCTCAAAAATCATAAAACACTTAAATCCCTAAGCCAAAGTTCATTACCTCTGTCGGCCGTCGTCAATGTTGACGAACAATCACCTACCGTCGACGAAACCTACTATCAGTCATTCTTTTTCATTGTGAGCTGCCACCGTAATTTCAACTTCCATCAAAAGATTGTATTCCTTCCTCTTCTTCACGTTCCGTCCATCTAAAGTCTCTTTATTTTGTTGTATACCTTCTTCATCTCATCTCCACCGACACCACTCCTATAACCGTCAAGACCTCCGTACATTTCACCTCTCATTAAGTCAAAAAGAATATGGATAAAATACGCCGATGATAATTAAATTTATGAAACTGTTATAAAATGAGCATTACACATTATAAAATAGTGATAAATTTTGATAAATTTTTATAAAAAGCTAATACTTTGATAAATTTTTGTAATTATTTTGTAAAAGTTTGATAAATTTAATAATCGTTTTATATCTTTTGAAACTTAAATAATCAAAAAGATCATATCAGTATAATTTAACGACCATTAACATATATTATCAAAGAAAACTAATATTATCAAGTTTGATCTATCCTAGAGATCAAAATATTAAATAAAATTTGATTCAAGTAGTTCAAAATGAGCAAAATTTGTCCCACCGTACCCCGTCCGGCAAAGTCGCCATCAACCTCACCAATAAAGAGTCGTAAATTTTGGTTGAAATATTACTTCTATAGCTTTCATGTTTTAAATTAGACAACAACTCAGTGAGTTGAGAAGTGTGACGATGATGATGATGAATTCAGACAGTTGCAGCAACCAAAACAAAGAAGAAGAAGAAGAAGACAGCTCGGAAAACAAAGAGATTGAGAAAATCAAAATTAGTCTTATGAGAACCATTGTTGAAACACAAGATCCTTCTTCCAAGGTACACTTTGCTCCGACTAATTGGTTGTTGGTAAAATTGATCGAATTAGAGGGTTTGGTATACTTTTTTCGACCATAATCTAAGTTTAGACCGCGTGAAATACGAAATTAGGGATCAACAAGAACTTTTCATTTCCAACCAACATGATTATGATCCGACAAAGAGTCTATTTTGCCATGAATTCATATATTTTGTAGGAAGTAGACGATTTGACACTCCGAAGATTTCTACGAGCTCGTGATTTAGATGTGGAGAAAGCGTCGTCCATGTTCCTAAAGTATCTTAAATGGAGACGAGGCTTTGTTCCCAACGGTTTCATCTCTCCGTCAGAACTCGAAAATGAAATCCGACAGAACAAGATGTTCTTGCAAGGTTTGGACAAGAAAGGACGACCCGTCGGTGTTCTTCTTGCCGGAAGACATTTTCAACATAAAGGCGGCGTCGAGGAATTCAAGCGTACGTTCATTTCTTGTCTACACTCACTTGCTTTTCTTTGTTTACTTTCTTTTTCTCTTGATTTATTTTGTAAATTTACAGGTTTTATAGTCTACATTTTCGACAAAATATTTGCAAGGTATTGTTTTATCTTATGTTTCTCTGTGGAGTTTATGACATCATGTGTATTATAATCGTCTCTTGCCTATAGGATACTGCTTTGTTGAGTCACCGACTATTAAAAGTTACAAAATGATCACTTGATTATTTATATATTTCAAACTAAACTTTTTTTTTGTTAAAATATTATCGATCATTTGAGCTGGATGTTAATCTGTTGATTGAGATATGATAAAATCTTATTCAAGAATCGTTTGAGTTTTATTTTGTGAATTAACTCTTCGTTTATTTTATGTTGTCGAATTTGTGCTTGAAACAATATGACATCAAACCAATACTTAAAAGCAACGATGGTGCCAATAGATATCATTAAAATATGATTTTATCACATCTCAATCAATAGATTATCGTCCAACTCTGACGGACGTCAGTTTTTAACGAAAAATTAGGAGTTTAGAACATATGAATAACCTAGTGACCATTTTACGACTTCTAATAATCGAAGAACTCAACAAAATAACACTCTATAGTCGAAAGTTGAATAACACTTTGTTGCGAAATGTCTTTAAAAATAATGTATGTTGCACACTTCAAGCATATCCTTATAAGTAAATTTTTTGATATTCATATTACTATACTCCTTTTTTAAGTATATATGGTAGTGTAAGGATGCTTATTGAGCAAGTCAATCGCTAGTTGAATAATGCTTGACTAGTGATCGTTAAAAAAATTGTTGTTTGATTCGAATCGTTACTCGTTAAGTTTGATAAAATTTTACTGGACTCATACTCGTTAAAAGAATTTATTGTTCAACTTAACTCGTTGAAGCTCACCATAATTTTAACTTATTTTTTTAACTATATTTAAAATTTAGTAAATTAATAATTTAATATTTTTTTATTATTTATTAAAAATAAATTAAGAGTAATCATTAAGTAATGATTTAGCATATTTTTTATTATCTATTAACAAATTATTAATTATTAATTAGACATTAAAATTTGGAATTAAAAAAAATGAGTATCAGGATGCCTCCGGTACAGGAGAAATTCTTGGTGATAGGAGATCTTGAAGGTTGGGGATATGCAAACTGCGACATCAGGGCATACCTTGCAGCTCTATCTCTAGTCCAGGTTTAACACTGATTTGTTATTCCCATTTATTACTCAAAAGCAACACCGATTTGTCCCCTGAAAAATGGCAGGATTACTACCCTGAAAGACTAGGAAAGCTCTTCATTGTTCATGCACCATACATTTTCATGGCGGCCTGGAAGATTGTTTACCCTTTCATCGACGTCAAAACAAGGAAGAAGGTACGTTCCTGATTTCTCACACAACAAATTGTCCATCGACACGGTTGAAAAATTATAGATATTTTGAAACTTTGAAGTATATTATTTATCGACAAAATTAGAGGTTTGAATAATAAAATTATGATTTTATATTCTATTTCATGAGACCTTTAAAACGGTAAAATCACCATACTATTGTGTTGAAAAAAAATAGATGATTTAGAGTACTAGTAAAATTATTTGCTAAAGTGGTTTTTGGAAGACGTATAAATCTTTCGGAGCCTCTTGTATTGTTATTCTGTTAGACTTAGTGTTCCAACTGCATGCAGTACGAGGAAGACGCCAGTCTTTCAGGCGTCTTCCGAAAGGTGTCAGATCATCTGATCGTCTTCATCCACTCATTGATCATTTGACATTGAATGTTTATATCCCCTGCATATATAGTGTTTGAATCCAAAACTTCAAGGAATAACAACAATTCTTTAACCACTCAAATAGCTTGGTTCGTACCGATAAATGTGCAAACTAAAAAACCCTTTCTTTCGCACAACTAAGGTTGGGGGTGCATTCGTATGACTTGTTTTACACGAAATGTTTAAATTGATTGATCCAAGTAAAATTTATCTTGTAGTTTAATTTTTGTGACTATTATCTTCCTAACCTAATTCCATTTAATCTCTTCAGTTGTTATCTTTTCATTATTTCTCCTCTCTTTTATATAAATAAGTTGACAGAAATTTTTTTACCAACCGTTTCAGATAAATATTTGTATACAGTAATATTGTTTACTTACTTGATTATTTAGAGGAAAACCAACAAACAGTAATCTATGAGCCCTACTTTGTGTGGAAATTGCAGATAGTATTCGTGGAGAAGAAGAAGCTGAAATCAACGTTGCTTGAAGATATAGACGAGAGCCAGCTCCCGCAAGCATATGGTGGACAACTGCCCTTGATTCCCATTCAACACACCTAAACATAGTCTCTACATCATGCACGTGAAGTTGCTGAATTTAAAGAGATTTAATAACTCTGTTAAGATATTTAAAGAGAGATGAGTGCTGGAACGTATGAATTAAATTATGTTAAAATCGAGATTTAATTATCCTGCCACGAATTTTCAAAAAACTTAATATAGCATATATGTCACGTGATCGATCATCGTGAATCGCTATATCAATATAATTATCATGTTAGCGTCATGAACTATTACATTAATATTGTAACAGACAATGTTTGATTCCGTTGATTAATGAGTCAAATTGATTTTTATTTTCTCAATTCAAAGATCACATTAAGTGCAAAAAGTTACATTACCATTAAATCCACTTTTTTATGATCCAAAATCTTTCTTTCAGAAAGTGATTTTATAGTATTCAATCACACCTGGCCTCAAATAATTAATGACAACTCTATTCTCTCTTAAAATTGATTTTTTTTTCAGAGAAATCCGAATTTACAATTTTTCAAAAAATGTCAAGATTGTTTCAACCAACAATTATATTGACATTGTAGATTGTCATATTAACATCATAAACTATTCCATCAACATATAACAATCAACGTTTGATTCCGTTGATTAAAAGATTAAATTGATTTTGCTTTTTCCGATTTAAGAACCACATCGAGTGTAAAAGGTTACACAACTATAAAACCTATTTTCTTACAATCCAAAATCTTTCTTTCAAAAAGTGATTTTATAGCGTTCAATCACACTTAACCTCAAATAATCAATGACGGGTTTAAGGACTGTTTCAACCGATAATTATATTGGAGACTTCAGTTGAAAAGGCAAAATGAGAATCGAGTGACAGATCAATTCGAGGAACTCTTCCTACTCTTTGTGCAGTCCAATTTGAAGATCAGAAGATATAGAAATGAGAAGCGGTAAAGAGTTGTGCCATACAGCTTTAAACACTCGTTTCTGGTGAGCTCGGATCGACTGCGATGGCCTGCACGCATTATACCTAATATCGAAAATGTGTATCACGGGGTCAGCCGAACCCGATGAGAGGTACAAACCATCAGGAGACCAAGCTTGATTTATAAGAGCCGAATGAGATTCACTGCTGTCTTGCTTCCACCCAAACGAATGCAGTTCGGCATACATCGATCTAACATCGTACAGCCGGATCTGCCTTTCATGGACCCTGCAAAATGATACATCACAGTGTCTAAAACTTCAATGGGAAGATAAAAGTTATAAAACTCTTTTAATAACATGTGCCTCATAAGTTACACCAAAAGGCAACAATCTAAGGGTAAAGTAGAGTCAAATCTCCATGCCTATGTCCGAAAATTTTCCGTACATGGGTTCCAGATAGGGGGTTCTTCAAGAAAATAGAGAATCGGAATAACAAAGGTGAAAACTTCAAAATCGCCAAGTAATCTTGAGTCTTGAACTAGCAGGTAATTGGATAGGAACCTCAAACAATCCAAAATTGTCACCATTAACATCCCTATAAATCATATTCCCACTATACTAGCAAATCTGGGAAAGTGAAGTTAAAATATACTTCTGAATCTGCCAGTTAAGGTCCTGTTCTATGTCAACTCAGTAGAATCTTGGAACAAACAATACTAGTATGTTACTCGGATTTGGCTCTAAGTTTCGGATGTGGGTACGTGTCCAGCCCAGATGTCCCAAATGAAGGTTCTACGGATATGGCTTTAAGTCTTGAATTCAGTTCATCACTGTTTATCTGAAGGTTTTAATAGACTAGACAGAAACTCGAGCAATTTACTGTCTGTAAAACACCGATATTCAAAAGGAATAAAAGTTAATTAGTCGACAAACATAAAGAAGTTTACTGATTGCGAAATAGATGTTTCTTACCCGGTTTGGACCATGAATAGATTGAAGTCACAAGGATTTGGCAGAACACTCATGCATTTACTTTCCATTTGATGCTTGAAGTCTGCACTTTCCGTAACCACATCAAAACCGATAATTCTTTTATCAGCCCCGGCAGACAGTACAATCTGCTTTTGCTGCATTCCTGCAACTCCCATGACAGCAGAAGAATGTAGATTCCTATGTAAGGTCTTTGGTTTCCATACATTCTCATCTCTCTCACTCCAAAGCACCACTGCATGATCGCTACCGCCGGTGCCAAAACAAGTATCCTCCCAGGGCATAAATGCTATGCTGTTTATGATACCTTTAACGTGAGGCTTATCCTCTAAGAAAGTTACATGGGGTCTCTGTCATTGCACATAAAAGCAAAATGACAATCCGACTTTAAGCAAAAATAGGCTATTACTAAAATGAAAAACGACTGTTTTAAGTAAAAAAAAATTACAGGTTTTACAGATCTTCCAGAGCCTTCATACATCAAAGAATATAATTCTAAATGTAACGCAACCAGATTTTTTTTTAACAAATAAATTATAACTATTACACTTACCCCCTTTTTGTTAAGATTTAGTACTGATATCTGAGAATCACCTGCATCTGCAGTGTATACAGAAAAAAGTTTGTTTCTGTGTGGGTGCCATGCTATATCTTCTGGCCATCTTCTCCCTCCCGATGATACACAATTTGTAGTACTAAGCAAAGAAGCTGATGACCTGAAGTTCAACACAAGTAAAAAAAAAAGCAGGAACAAAATGTTAGTACTTGATTGATAAAATTGATATAAAATATGCTCCTAAATGCCATCTAATCATAAGTATGGAAAATTAATGGACATTCCACCTATGATGATGCCTAAATCATAACATGCAATGGGAGGAAAAAGGAACAATGATATAAAATAAACATATAATGCATACATGATATAATTAGAAGATCGATTATATGAAATTTTTGCCTTGACTTACCCTCTACCCTGAATTTTCCACAAGTTGACTAATCCATCCAAAGCACTGCAAATGGTCCAACACACTAGAAAAAATAAGATCCCATAAAATATAAAGAAACTATAAAATTTGCCAAATGCCAATGCTAAACGATTGAAATAATGAAACATGTACTCCTTTCCGCTACTAAAATGGAAGTTTTCACACAGTGAAAGGCATATCTTCAACTTCCTTTGTCAAAGAGCATACCTGGTTATGAAAAGCTGATCATTCACTGGACACAGAGAAAGACTTCTCAACTTTCTTTTGTGTTGACTGGGGATTATATTGCTTGAATAGGGGCCAATTAAGGTCGGTGAAGAGCGGCTTTCTACCAAGGTAATCAATTCTTTGTGTTCCTTTTGTTCTATAGAGAAAAATTTGTAATGTTAATGTAAAATCCAACATCAAAATAAGTGATCAATCAAGTTAGAGGTGATTGCCTTACCTAACTTCCTTTTAGTCCCTCTATCTTTAACTTCAACAACCTCCATATCAGTAGACCTTCTCTCGGATTCCTCAGCTTTTACTTTCACTTCCCTATTAGAGGAAGCAGTTTCTTCGAGACCAATGATGGTTTTTGCAACTAACCCTTCTGGTTTTATTGGTTGTGGAATCTTAGGAATTACGGATGGGATTAAAAGTTTAGTTCTCGATCGGAGGCTATCAGAATCTCCATCTATGCGTTCGGGAGGGACTATTCCCTGCTCTAACTTAACCCTTTTAGTAGCCAAAGAAGCATTAGACAATGACGAGATATGCCGGCCTCGTAAGTGAGCCAATTTAGATTGGGAATCTTGCAGCCTCTTCTCTGCTTCAGCAAGCTATGTTCCGAACAAGCAGGAGGAATAAAACAATAAAGGAAAGCACCAGCTATAAATTTAGGACCTAAACAAACCAACATTGCAACACACTTCTCAACAAGAAGGGGGGAAATTTTATTAGGATGCATTTGGTTCAGTAATAGTTTGCCGCTAAAAACCTTATAATTTCATAAACCCCATCCAATATTTAACAAAGAATAAGAGTTCTTATACTCTCAAATGACAAACCTAAAAAAGCACAATGGAACATTAAAAGAAAAACCCAAAAATTCAAAATGGAATAATTAAAAAAGAAAAAACCCAAAAATCGCAGGAAAACAACCCAACGAGACAATAATGAATGGATGAATGAATAGACGAAGAACCTGAGATTGGTAATATGAGATGCGTTGGCGAAGATGTTCGACTTCTTTGGTGCGGTGCTCTATCAAAGCCACCAATGCTTCTTCTTGCTCAAGTATGCTGTTTGCGTCTTCTTCTTCTTCTTTAACTCTCTTCCAAATCATTGAGCCCTCCCCCATTCTTCACTTTTCCTTCTTCTTCACGCCACACCTTCTCGGCTTGCCGCCTTCCTCAATACAAAAACTTTTTTTTCTTTTAAGTTGGTATATTAAGAGCGCTCAGATATAACAATTTCGGGTTTTTAAAATTTATTTTTATTCTACCCCACGTTCTACGAAAATATTTAAATTGGATCACTAATCTCTTAATTTTATCAATAAAATTAAATATCGTTAATATAAAAAATTATGATCATTCAACTATAGAAACATTTCAATCTAACCACCAATATTTTACTTTTATCAATCAAATCACGTAACTATTTAAATGATGTCAATCAAATTACATACCTTTTATCATAATAAAATTAATATAATTATACATTTGATTCTCATTATTCATACATTCTATTAATATGATCTTAATTTTAATGATTATATCAACTATTTAAATGATACCAAATTTTAACAACGAGTGGTTTTATTATCATCTTTTAAATTGATAAATGGTCTGATTGATAAAATTAAAAGATCAATATTGAGATTGAAATCTCCTCATAATTAAGTGATTATATGTGTACTTTGTCAAAAAAAAACATGATTTTTTTTTAAAATAATTTAATTCAAGTTATCCCAATGCTTGTATAACCTTTAAGATAAATAAATTATCATTAAACTGTGTTAGAATAATTTTTTAGTCATTAAAGTTTTAAAAATTATAAAATAATTATTAATTTTTTTAAACACATAAAATGATAATAATTTAATAAATTTAATGATTATTTTGTAATTTTCAAAACTTTAATAACTAAAAAGATCATTTTAACATAGTTTAGTGACTATTTGTGTACCTTACTTGCCCTATCTTTTAAATATAATTATAGATGATATTGATGGAAGAGATATATATGGTAATGGGACATTAACATCTCATGTAATACTTCGTCTGCGTTTAAAGCTCTTTCAGAATAGGTGCATATTTGGATCTTGAAAATCCATCGCCGATGATTATTAACATGCAACGAACTGCAATTTCTTTACTCGGTGGAACGAAGGAATAAACGTTTCATGCCACTGATAGCAAAATCAAATACCAGTCATGCTGAATGGACATGAAAGAAACATTTCTTCTCATGCAACCGGATCAGTTTGCCGCCGAGACGAGAGGACGAGCAAGGCCTGAACCATCGTCCATCTTCGCATCAGACCAGAAAGAACCCAAGTGGGATTCAGTTTCTCGCAATCTGTAATAAACATGGTATTGACCAGGTCGGGAATCGATTCAATGCCAGAAAAGATTAGTGTTACGAATTGTTCCAAGAAATTGAACAAACAGACGTTCGAAACAGAGATGTCCATCGAACCGATTATCAAAACGAAGAGTAATGTGCCAAGTTCTCTGCTTGAAGCTCAAAACATAAACTCCCGACTAGATAGGGACCAAAAAGGAGCAAGCTGATATCTTAGTGGTTGCCCCAATCAGCTCACAGATGCTCTAAGAATTGCCTATAATCTAGTAAGTGAAAACCAATATAATAGATTTAGCCTCCCACAACACAGTGAAGCAAAGAGAGTAATAGAGAAGGCAAGAACAAGAGATCGCAATAAGGTTCACGGTTCGGTCATACTGACCTATGTTCACCAGAGACAGGTCCAGAATGCTACTTATTGATATTCTAACTAGAATGAAAAAAAAGTACATAAAATGCTATCTGATGTTGTTGCATAGGCAATAAATGGAAAACAGTAATTAGAGAAATATTAGGGACTAAACTGATAAAAAATCACTATATGAATCTTGTTAACCTTTATGGTTATCGAATTCTTCTCGAGCTATCATAATTTAAAGAGACCTAGAAGGAAGTCGAAAAGTTTCCAACAGAAAGGATGGCCAGATATCCTTGAAACCTGTTAAGATATTCTCACACATATTCTTGCAGTCAAGTCAACAAAATGAAAGGGAAATTTGCAGTAACGCACCATCTTGTACTGACAAAACTATGCATCAAGCTTAAGGAAATGAGCAAAAAGAAGGAGAACATTTTACCAAAGCATTCCGACTTAATGCATTATATTGTCAAATGAACCATGATCAATAATTTAAAACCTGATTGAAATTCTGATCTATATTGCAACATTCAGACACGATATACATAGATATCATCAAATGAATCATGCTTAGTCATTAAATCCGAGCAAAAGTTTGTTAACAAGCATCGGAATTTAGATACAAAGAAGTCTAATATACAATTAAGCACATAAGCAGACATAAATAGTAACGAGTATACAGGAAAAATCAAGGCTTTGAAACCTCCAGGCATTTCTATTCAGATTAAGTAACCCACGGCAAAAATAAAAACTAACCTCTCCTACCAGTCCGACTAAGCAGGGACAGCCTCGACAAGTCTTGCAAAGTAGAACTGTGTAGTGATTAGCCCGCTCTTCCTTATTTTCCACCCAACCTTATTTAATGCCCTTTCCACATCCGCCTCGGCATGAAGATATGCCCTTGTCGCCTTAGACGGCCCTGGAAACAACTCCCCAATCCTCTTTAACAGATCATAATAAAATGTCTTAGGGGCAAAACTTAAAATTAGTCTGTTTTCAGCTAGTGAAGCAAGGTGTGCAATCATCCCATCGGCTTTACTCTGCGGATAATGTATTAAAACATCTAAACACACCACGGTATCATATTTTCCTTCTAAACTCTCCAAATCCTTCACTTCGAAATTCGGCATAACCGGGACAATATCGCCATTTCCAACTGCTAACTGCTCTTTCGCCTGCATCACATTATCACACAATTCAGGCTTGCAATTCCCAATCAACAAAATGCAGTTCTCTACAATTGAATCTAGACAATGTAGAAGTTTTCATTTATTTGTTGATATAAACACTTAATTGGATCATCCGCTAAGCATTCATAAGTCATAACTTAAAATTCAATTATCAGAGCAATGCTAAGGTGAGAATCGTAAATAGGCAAAAACTTTCCACCATTTTTTCTTTCAAAAAAACGGTTATAATAGTTAGGTAAAGAGGAAAATCTAACAAACCAGCTGCTTCGCCTCAGCCACCATGGCGGCGGAAATATCGCTGGCAGAAACAACGGCCCCTTCTTTCGCTAAGGGGATAGCGAGACAGCCGGTCCCGCATCCCGCATCGCAAACGGTCACTCCTTTCAACGAGCCGTCATCGGTCAACATTTTCATCACATTTTCAACGGTCTTGGAGTGCCCTAGCCTAATATCAAGCTGGACTTTATTCACATCGTCGGTCTCTCCATAAATCTTCTTCCACCTCTGGAAACCGGAATTGTTGAAGTAGTTCCTAACGACTTCTTTGTCTCCTCCGCCGACTTCTTCCGCCTGGAGACGACGTCGACGTTCGGGGTCAGTTAGTGAGAGAACTGCTGCCAAGGCGGCTACTGAGCCTCCACCTATGAGAGCCACGGTGGTACTATCAAAAAACGGAGAGGTCGGTGACGGAGGCAGCGGTGGAAAGAGGGGGAATGGCGGCGGTTGTTACGGTTGCTTTCTGTTTGGTGGGGAGTTTTGGAGGGAATGTAGAGAATAATCTAGTGTTAGTATGGAAATGAAAGTGAGAAGTTAGAGACGCCGAGTACGCCATTCTCTCTGGCTGAATTACTCAATCTTCTTCTCCAATTCCGATTATTTCCTTCGCCGGCCGCTGGCGGAGGGATGGCTACGTGTCTACCGTGTCTGTGAAGTAGTTGCTGAAGTTCTGATTTTTAATTAATTATATATTTTCTATCTCATGGATATCAGATAGGATAGCGTTGAACCCCATATTTCCTTTCCCTCGATTTCTGTAGGGTCCATTTTTGTTTAGGGTCTTTGGTCCTGCTTTTTTGGAGTATATGATTTGGACACACGACATTGAGGTAGTGTTTGTTTTTACTGTGTAAAGTAGTGTTAATTTTTATTGTGTAAGGTATGTAAAAATTTTATATTTGTGTCACATAGACATTGGATTTCACAGTCCGTTTATTTTTTAGAAGATAAAAGTTCTTCTAACATCATCGTGCGCAAATTTGATCTTATGTCTGCAGACGTCTTCTAACCTCTTCAAAGAAGTTTTATATTTAATTTTATATTATATTTGATTTTCATATTAATATTAATTTTTAAATAAATTAAATATTAATTTTTTAATATTATATTATATATATATTAATTTTAATATTAATTTTTTAAATAAATTAAATATTAATTTTTAATATTATATTATATATATTAATTTTATATTATATAAATTATTTTATATATTATTAAAATTTTATATTTATTTTAATTATTTTGATTTAAGTTTAAATATAATAATTTTTTGGATTTGTTATTTTTAAATTATATTTAAATTTTTTATACAAAATGTAAGTATTTAAACCACATTGTTTAATAAAAAATGATTTCATTGTTTGATAATTAAGATTTTAAAATATAAAAAATTATAAATTATATTTTTAAAATTTTAAAATTTTAAAATATAATCACAATTAAATAAAAAATAATAAAAAATAATTTGATAAATTAAAAAATATTTTCTAAAAATATCATATAATTATAAAAATAAATTATGAATATATATATTTAAAAAAAATTAAAAGTATTACATAATTGCATATTTAAAAAATCATATAATTTAAAAATATCATAATAATACATGTGATTATGTGAGACTTATAATAGAATTAATAAGGTGGTGTTTGTTTTTCTAAAAAAAATATTATTGTAGTTGTATGAATTATTTAAATTTCAGTATTGTAAAACTAAAATTATTTAAATCTCAATATTGCAAAACTCTTTTAAGTTTAAAAAATCAGTTTATTTATATTTCAATTTATTTTAGCAGTCTGCAGACGTTAAAAAATAAACAGTCTTCTTCTTGCAGACTGCAGACTTTTGGTTAACCTCTTCTACTGCAGATGCCTACAAATGTGGTCCGCAGACTGCAGACCTTTTATCTCTGTAAAAACAAACGACACTTAAGTCATTATTGAAATGTGTTATAATAATTTATCAATATATGGTACATCTTAATTGAAAAATTAATTTTTTAATTAAATTAAGATTAAATTGATATTATTTTTAAAAAACAATTATAAAGGTAGTGTAAAAAAATACTTTTAAACAAATTTAAAAGTCTAATTTAAAATTTAATTATTTAAAATTGTTATTAAAAATTATTTTAAAAGTATAAAATATATATTTTAAATATTATATTGTAAATTGAAAATATAGTATTTAAATATAAAAATATTATTTTATTCAAAAGTTATTTTTCACAACAAAAGCTAGACACTTAAACTTAAGAGGTTAAGTTAAAAAACACTTTGCTCTATAATACGTAAGTATTGAAGACCAAACATATAATTATGTCAATTTTATTAATTGACATGTCACTTTATCTGTTAAATATTAACTAATAATAATCTAATTAGAATATTTAAATAATCAAATGATATGATTATTAATACATAAGTCAAGTTTAGATAGTCGGACTTAACATGACTCTTGCTCATCTCATTGTATTTTTTTTATTTATGGTTAAAATAAATAACTAAAATTGTGGCATTTTTCATATAAGTACCTAAAACATCTTTTTATCCGCTTATATTTATACAGTATACTACCATTTTCATATATATTCCTAAAAATTAACATGCGACATTTATTAAAAAATATTTTAAATATCTACGTAATAAATATATGCGTGTAGGTTCGAGATGTTTCCCCACGTCCACCTCACCAAAACATTTTACTTCTATTAATGCTTTGCATCTTACTGTGGGTATAAACTCAAAATCTTCTCAATAGTACGACTCACAAGATCAAAATTATTCTCGTTCTACCATCCACATGTATTTTAAGATTCGCTTAATACTCATTATATCAAATAATATGTCTCGAATACATCATAAATATTTTAAAATACAAGTGTAAAAGTTTTATAAATCAACCAATATATGAAATATAAGTTTTATCAAAATTATTGTTTTTTCAAATGTTTATTTTGTATTAATCTTTGGTATTCACTATATTTTATAGAGAAAATAACCTCAATGATAAAAAATCACAGATAATATGTGATTTTGATCAACTTTTTTTGAATTTACGAAAATGACCAACAAAATCGCAATGCGATATCTAATTCGCATTGCGATCTCCACTATCGCAAATTCGCGTTGCGATTTTCTAAATTCGTTGCGAAAATTCGTTGTGATAGTTAAAAAAAAAGATTTTGTTTCTTAAGAATTTTCTCTAAAAAGATAGTATCCGCGCGCAAGTGTCGAAGACACGTATTACCACGACCACGACCACGACCACGACCCGAGACGAGACGGGCGGCGGCGGCGGCGCGCGAGAGTCCCCCTTGTTCTCTATCACTCAACAAGGAAGTGGGAAAGCCAAGCCTTAAATACCATTCTCAATAGTGTTCCCAATACTATGTGGGATTGAGCATTACCAACACTTGTTTCCAATACAATGTGATTATTCAGGAAACAATTAACAATCATGCACCTTAAAACAACTGAATCAGCAACCAATTGCATTAGTATCATACGATTAAATATGTCATAATTAAAAGTCAATCTACAATCAATCGCGATTATTGCAATTTTAAGCAAAACATTCAAAAATAATATCACTATTTAAGGCTCAATCCCACATAGTATTGGGAACAAGTGTTGGTAATGCTCAAATCCAACATAGTATTGGAAACACTATTGGGAATGATATTTAAGGCTTGGCTTTCCCTCTTCCTAGTTAAGTGATAGAGAACAAGGGGGACTCTCGCGCGTCGCTGCCGTCGTCCGTCTGTCTCGGGTCGGGTCGGGTCGGGTCGTGTCGGGTCGTGTCGGGTCGTGGTCGTGGTTGTGGTAATGGTAATACGTGTCTTCGACACGTTCGCGCGGATACTATATTTTTAGAGAAAATTCTTAAGAAACAAAATCTTTTTTTTAACTATCACAACGCGAAATGGAAAATTGCAACGCGAATTTGCGATAATGGAGATCGCAATGCGAATTAGAGATCGCATTGCGATTTTGTTGGTCATTTTCGCAAATCCAAAAAAAGTTGGTCAAAATCGTATATTATCTGGGATTTTTGGTCACTGAAGTTATTTTCTCTATTTTATATGTTTTAAAAACTTTTAATCATTTGACGATAAAAGTCCGTTTGTTTCACGTAAAATGTTTTTCGAAAAATGTTTTCCTCCTTTTTCAGTGTTTGGTTGGAGGAAAACTGGTTGGTAAACGTAAAACATTTTCTTGATCAACAGAATTTCATTTGTGTTTTCTGGAAAATGACTTAAGGTGTGATTTTCCGTAAATCATTTTCCGAACTTTTCATTTCAAATAATAAATACTCAAAATAATTTTATTTTATGAATTTAATATTAATAAAATATTTTAATATCATTTTAATCAAAATATTAATTATTAAAATATTTAAAATATATTTATTAATATTTCTAATAATATAATATTATATTTTTAATATTATAATAAAATAATCAATTATATTATAATAATATTTTTAATAATTATTTGAATTTTTAAATATTCTTATATGGTATAATTAATAATTACTTAATTTTAATTTTTTTTAGTAATGTTACAAATTCGACGGTGATTGTAAATGGTTTGAATCAGGTCCAACCCCAACATTAATGCCCGGCCCGACCGATCCGATCCGATCCCTAAAAGAACTGTCTATCTGCAAAGAGGCCCAGCAAGAAGCCATCCCTATTCATTACCAATAGATTACTAATATATCATTCAATCCCAAGGTACGCCGCCGGTACAGTAAATTTTTTTAGATCTCTACACTAGGTTTGGTCGACGGTAAAATGCCTTCCTATTATCGTTGAATTTCTCGGTCACAGATCCGCCAGAGACGTGTATTTTCGTTGTTGCATGCATAGTTATTGGTGTTTTTTTTTGTTTGTTATTGAAGGTGTTATGGCGAAGGTTACGGCGATGGAAATTGATGATCCAAATTCAAACATCCCCGACCAGATCATCCCCAAGTTCTCAATCAATGGTCAGCTTTTTATGTTTGTTTATCAATTTAACAATTGCATCAAGGATAATAGTTTGATGGCGAGATTGTAGGTTCTATATGGTTTATTTTCCATGTTTGTTTTTTTGGCTTCCGTGTTCAGTTTTGCAGCTTCTGAAGTCTTCTCAGATGCAGCATGGATTACGACATGGAGACTATACTCGCTACAGGTAACTTCACTTTGAAAAAAAATATAAAATTATTGAAATATTTCTCTTTAAAATGTTTTAAATTTGGATATTGTTAATATTTAAATGAATAATGTTGGGGCTGCAGGAGGTATTGCACTGCTCGTTTGAGGAGGTTATATAAATCATTGAAGTTCACGCATGGCCGCGGTAAATACACCAAAAAAACCATTACTGAGTCCACGGTCACTGAAGTGAGGTCTGCTACTCTGCTTTGTTGATTTTGCAGTAATCTGAATATTTTTACAATTCGAAAGTTACTTTTCTTTTTATAATTTTCACTCTTTCTCGCATTTAGAAATGCTTGTTTCTTTGTATTTGAGTACACATGTGCATGTTTAGAGGTAATTATTGGTGTCATATTTTCTGTGAAGTAATTAGTTACAATATGTTTTAGAGTTCCTTGTAATTGACTCTTTTTTTAAAAAGAAATTATTTACTTTAGAAGCTTTTCGAGTTGGAGATGATTTGTTGGTCTGTGAAATATGTATTCAAGTTACTGTAGCTTTTCCAAGTTGACAGTGTTACTTTGATTTGATTTAAAATAGGTTTCTTCATGTGGTTCTGTATACGGCAGAAAGAGCTTGGAGCCATGCCATGGAGAAAAGACAGCTTCCAGATGGTCCAAATGCACGCCAGCGTATCTATTTGATTGGTAGATTACGCAAGGCAGTAAAATGGGCTGATCTGTTTTCACATTTGTGTTCTGTCAAGGGAGATTCAAGAACATCTTTAGAGGCTGAGGTTTGTTTGCAATTTGATTGTTATTTGAACGCCTACAGCCTTTTTCTTTGGCCTTCAGGAAGAAAAAATAAGGCGTAAATTAGTTGTGTGCTTATGTTATTTCTTTTTAATATATTGCTTTTAATTTATTTATTTCGCTATTTTTGGTTAAATGATGTGTCTCTTGAGTTGTGTAAAGGTGTAAATGCTTTTTAGTACGTAAATTATTGCATATGCCTCACAACGGCAGTACAGTGTTGCGATGAAAGATTAAATTAGTTCAGTGTTTGTGGATGTTTTATATTGTTTTCTTTATGAAGCACGACTGCTTTTCTTCATATTTTTTCCCTAGGCCTATGCCTCCTATATGAAAGGGAATTTGTTGTTTGAACAAGACCGGAATTGGGACACTGCATTGCGGAATTTCAAAAGTGCCAGGTTTGTGCTTGTCTCCAATAGTGTCCATACATAGAAATAATGCAGTATCATGTTAAAGTAGATAGCTAATATTTTTGCTTGATCTCATGCTCCTATGTCAAATGCAATAAATAAAAATAAAATCAATATCCTTCATGATGCTTTTCCAATAGTTTTTTTTGCCGTTCATAGGCCATAGCCCAGAATGATAACATCTTTGATTATATTGCAGGGCCGTTTATGAAGAACTTGGGAAATACGGGGATGTAGAGAATCAAGTCTTATGTCGTGAACGTGTTGAAGAGCTCGAACCTAGTATTCGTTACTGCCTTCACAAAATTGGAGGGTCAAATTTGCAAACTTCTGAATTTTTACAGATTGGTGAAACGGAAGGTCCTGCACTGGACCTTTTCAAATCAAAGCTAGAGGTCAGTTCATTTCTGTAGGCATTGGTATTTTCTTTTATCATCCTTTATTATTTTTGAGTGACTTGGTACTTATTTTTCTACTGATTTCCTACCTGGTGATTGGTTATAAGAAATGTGTCTATTGTAAAAGTAAAATATGTCGAATCTTCTGAAAATCAGCTTTCAGTTCAGTAAGAACTTGTAATTGTTTACCACCTTACCAAAGGTGTTGAGAGAATAGATGGTTTCTTTCTGAATTTTAACGCATCACTTCTTTTAATATTAGTCCAATTGGAACAAACTAATGATTTATTCAGAGATAAGATATTTGAACTATCCTTTTCAACCTGGAAGCTAGTCCTTTGTCTGCAAACATTTTCATCTATGATAGAAAACCTTCGGCTGCTTTGTTCAACAAATTATTTATGCACTCCTTGAAGTTTGTGTATAAGATGATTTCTTTTCTTAGATGAATGCTCAATTGTTTTATAGCCATTGGAATTGGTTATGCACCTCCTTAGAGCTCATCCGATTACTGTGCAGGGAAGGGAGAGGGATGAAGATTAAAGCTTTCTTTCTCTATATTCTGTTGATGCCTTTGTCAGTAACATTGATGTCTTATACTATCCTGATTTGCAGGCTGTTATGGCGGAGGCAAGATCACAACAGGCTGCATCTCTGACAGAGTTCCATTGGCTGGGCAATAGATTCCCAATTACTAATGCAAAAACTCGGGTTGCTATTCTGAAAGGTTTGTTGTTAGCTTTTTCTGTGTAGGTAGGCATGCGAAGAATCAAGACTGCAAAACAATTTAAAAGCAGATATGGGAATATATTATTGACTTCTCTGAAATTAGATATTGACTCTCAAAAGAATATGCTGCTGACAACTAAAGAACACTTGGTGTCTCCTTTTCTTTTGAAGGGTTATGTATCATAGACATGATGCTTAGAGTTGGGTCTTTTTTCTTTTCAGTTTCATTGGATGATCTTGTGGTTTTAATTGTCAATTTTCTTGACACAGTTAACATATTAACCTTCCATTTTATTGGCACTTAGAGTCAGTATTCACTCTTAATATGTCAACAGTTTTCAGTTTATGTTTCAATATTTTAGCATGTTACATTGATGACTCGCCCTAGCATCTATTATTTTAGCTACTTGAGTACTTTGCGGTTGAAGCTATCATTTCAACTTCTGTGCTGCAGTCCTTTCTGTTTTCACTCTTCTTTCTCCCCTATATTTAAAATGCAGCAAAATTTGGCAATATCAAATTACTACCTTCAATTGAATTTAGTGTCTTGGTCATGTTTTCTTTATTAATTGTAGATGTGAAAAATGCACCTGTGTGTGCTTGAAACTTTTTATTCATGTTCTCTAGTTATCCCTGTTACCCTTCAAGTTGGTTATAGTCCAAACATGGCCTAAATTTACTCTCTGCGTGACAAATTGTGCAGCCCAAGAACTGGAAAAGGATTTACATGGACCTTCAGCCGATTCCCTTTCAGCCGATAAAAGATTAGCAACTTTTGATAAAGTTTTTACAGCGTATCATGATGCTAGGAGCTGTATACGGAGTGACTTGGTATGAAGTGTTAATTTGTAGCTTTGCCGTCTCTTCATAGAAGTTGTCTATACTTAATCATTTTTTTCTCAGGACTAATCATTAGTAGAATTTGAATTTGCAATTATTTTCAAACTATTCATTTCCAATGTCTGATGATGATTTAGCATACACTCTAGGCCAGTGCAGGTAGTGCTGAAAGTGTAAAAGATGACTTAAATGGTCTTGATAAGGCTGTTAGTGCTGTACTAGGACAACGTACAATCGAGCGCAATCTGTTGTTGGTTAGCATTGCAAAGAGCAAAGTTACTAAGCGTCGTGATGACAAAAACGAGAAAGTCACCAAGCCTGAGGAGTTGGTTCGCTTATATGATCTTTTATTACAGGTGAGGGAGTGTCTGTTTTTGGAATGCGTTCCCTTCTTGGAAAAGAAGCTTGTACTAATTATTACTTTGATTAATGATGCTATATTTGGCAGAACACAGCTGATTTATCTGATTTAGTTAGTTCTGGAAGAGATAGAAAACCTGAAGAAGTGACATTTGCTGAAGAGTGTCAACTTAAAAGTTTGGCCTTCCGAGCTGAAAGGTTAGTTTCTGTGATCTCTATGATGTCTTTCTTTTTATTGGTTTACCTGTTTTATGCTTAAATATCTGCATCAACCAGTTCTACGATAACTTCCTACTTTTTTTACTAAGAAAATATTCGTTTTGACTTCCGGATGATGTCATTCAGAAGTATTCTCTAATATCCTGCATTTTGAACGATGAAATTGAGTCTACTTGTGAAGTGATTAATTGTTTCATTAGATTAATTTTGGGTGTATTACAACAAGAGGATGCCTTATGAAATTGATAAACGGGCCTCCGGAATTCTTTGCAGATGCTTCTACTTGGCAAGGTCTTATAGTTTAGCTGGAAAGAGATCGGAAGCATACTTACTATACTGCCGTGCTCGCTCTCTTGCTGAGAATGCCCTACATAAGTTTCAAACTCACAGTAAAACCGATCAGGTATCAATATTTATATAGGGGTTTGTCTTCCCCACTATTTTTGGTATATTTTCTGCGTTAACTGTCTGAATTCATATGCTAATTACCTGCTCGACGCTTGCAATGTTTTTTTAGCAGTCTCTTAACCTTGGGTTCAGACATCTAATCAGTATAATCTTAGTTAAAACCTTAATCGGCATCTTCGTATTATTTACAGGCGATGATCAAAGAGTTGAAGACTTTATATGATGAATCCAGATCTTACAGTTGCATAGAGCATGCAACCGGAATTACTGAGGAGGTGAAGGCTCCAGAGAATCTTTCAAAGAAGATATCAACTATATCATTAAGTGGAGCCGACAAGAAGGTATCATTTATATACTCTCTTTGCATATATTCCTTCATTGATTGTTACTTGTTTCGATACAACCTTGCACATGCACTGGAGAGAGAGAGAGAGAGAGATACGTCTCTTGATCCTGATTTTTCTACATTGTTGTGATGTGCTGCTTTGGAGTGGTTCAGGTGGAAAAATACCTGCTCGAGAAACTCGATCTCTACGAGTCTGCGGTTAGCGAGTCAAATATGAAAGGAGTTCCACGTATAGAACGCTTCCCGCCAGCCTTCCAGTCAGCACCTCGTAATCCTATCGTTCTAGACTTGGCCGATAGTGCTATTGATTTCCCGTCTATAGAAAACAGGATGAAGAAAGATAAGAAGGGATTCATAAGTAGGCTTTGGGGTTGAGTTACAATCCAAACTTAAGGTTTTCTTGATCGTTTATACCTCTACATGACAGGAGATGGTAATGGATGGTAAAAAATCATAAATTTCATGGTATTTTATTCGACTACCGTGGATTCGGATATTGCATCCCCGGATTTAGATTTCGACGTTGGTTTTATGGTCTATGGTGGATTTTGATAGGATATTTTCTCTCGAAAATTTGAGATGTCATTCCATATCGATTTTAGTTTATATCCGAATTCGGTTTTGATTATGTGGACTATAGATTTTGATATTCAAATTTCATTAGTTTTGCATATACTTTGTTTAAGGGATTTAACATCTCATCTCGTTAGATCAATCAGTAGTTGTAAATTTCTCAGTATGTAAATTACTATTTTTGTTTAGAAAAAACAAAGAAAAATGCCACATAGGCATAGAATGATTGCAAGTGAAATAGGGTGGTTGTTAAAGGGTAATTGGAGAAGTGAATGGACCACTTGTTTGAATTATATTTTTGCCTAACCTAACCTAACCTCTTTTTCCTTTAAAAATAAGGTATAATGGTCCAATATTCTCTGCCAAACATTTGCCCTTCTTTTTTACATGAAGCTTGCGTTTGCATGGTCCATCTTCCATTTCTGCTTCTAATAGCTAGTTGAATTAGATCATTTAGCGTATGTCATTTAAGTAATCGGATTTAGGTGTGATTTTAACTACACAAAGTCTAACCTGAAATCAGGGTATTTTAATTACACTCCAATTCTTAAGAGAAATGAGAATTTACATAATTACACGTGTGATTAGGGATAAGTATGGGTCAGGTTTTCGACTGACCTGGCCTGAGTATTATAGTTCTCTACTTGTCACCCGACCCAATCTAGGTTTAGGGAGGGATCATTAAACTCGAAATTTGATTTGATAGAGAATATTTTTTTTAATTATTGAGATCGTTGGATAGGTTCTCACCGTACTTTATTATCATCCTTAATTTAAACCGATAAAATTATATCTAATTGTTATATTAAAGTTTTTACAATTAAAATATCAAATCCAACTATTTTTTAAAAAAATAGCAATAAGAACTGACTTAAGATTTGTTGTTATCTATCAACAAACTAAGTCATGTTGTACCATAGGTAGGGTAGGGTTTCACTTTCTCTATAATTTTTTTAATTCATATAACCGTGCTTTGTAATAAATAAGGGATATTAAATCTTTTAAGTCAGGATATAGGTTTATATTATGATTCTTTGAAATGAGTAAATTGGATTAAATGATCCGTCCCTATATTAGATCTATGCAATACTCAATCTAAATTGATCGATTAGTAAAAAAATTACATTGTAAGTATAACTAAATGCATAAACAGTTCAAGCCTAGCAAAATTGATAAATGAGTGTATTGGCTGACTCATACCTAGAAAACCTTGCTCTTATTTTTTAATTATTTTTTGAAAAATAAAAAATTACTATTAGTGTTGTTTTCCAAACAATATTTCCCAAAATAGTTATCTATTTGACTAAAATCTGGCAAAGGACGAAGATGTCTTCTTTCAAAGAAAATTATTCTATTTTTTCATTCTTACAAAACTATCATGAAATCTGTATATAATATAATAATAAATCTACTCCTCAAATGTTTTTATATTTGCATCAATTTGGACATTTGTTTTTTTAGCTAAATTTAGCTCCGGGCTTTTTTATTAAAAAAAAAGACAAATTACTTTTTTAAACTAAAATATTGACAAAATTTTTAATTTTTCAATAGTATTGACATGACAATTCATGTATATTTTGTGTTGGCGTTATATACTTTTTCTTATAATATATATCAATAAATTACTTTAAAATATTTTATAAAAAAAAACTTATAAAATAATTTTTAGAAAATAACTTGAAATACACATGGATTACTTTGTATGATACCATGTCAAAACCATTAAAATATTAATATTTTAACTAATATTTCTATTAAAAAGGTTAGCAATTCATTTTTTTAAAGGTTGAGATTAAATTCGAGTCTTTGCGAAAGGTTAAGGGCAAGGTTTAACCCAAATAAATAATAAAGGTCAAATTAAGAAAAACTACAAATTTTGAGGACTAGATATAATGTATCATAAAGTTATTGATTAGATTAGGGTCTAATATCTAGTATTATAAATTTAACAAGGTCTTGTGTTTATTCATTTTTAATTATTTTGTCTTTGATATCTTCCATTTCAACCCTATGTTGTGTAGGATGATGGATTTATTTTATTTTTCGGAGAAACCCATGAGAGAAAATGTTGTTAATTAGGGCCAAGTATCGTTTATTTTCTTAGTTAACTCATGGGCAGGGCAACTCTTAATTATCTTGACAATAACAATGACCGACTTGTATAATTATTTTTAAACTCATCAAGTAAGGTATGAACAGATACTGAATTGTAATCACCCTAAATTATTTATAAAAAAGTTGTACAAATTTTTATAGGATCCGCATTATTTTAAGGGATAATTTCACTATATGTCCCTAAATTATGACTTCTAGGGATGTTATTGGAATGTTCAAAAGTTTTGGGTTCAATTCAAAATGAGTCATAATTTGATAAAGAAATTGAATGCTCAAATGTCTAAGGAGTAACTAAGAATGAATGTTATAGTTTAGGGATGGGTCGTGCAATCAACTCTTATTTTAATTATGTTGATTTTATTGGTGACATATATTAAAATTTTAATAAATGGTACATATGTGATAAAAATAGAAAAATATTGTACTTGAATGGTAAAATCACCTAAATAATGAGGTGAAAAAACATTCTTTCAAATAAGAATCACCGATGTTTATTTTCTCAATTATAATATTCTTTACAATAAATCGAATAAGACGCATGGATCACTCGACGTCTTCATAAAAACGTATGAAATATCTGACGTCTTCCCAATACACGACTCTGAGTACGTAAATGATGATGTTGTTTATTGATGTCATTGAATTTACAAATGAACTAGTCGTAGAAGACGGAGGAGCAAGCACCATTGAGAAAGCTTTAAATTATTGAAGTCATTTCCCCACAATATTATCCTAAAAATTTTGCCATTTCAATCTTGACTTGATAGTGTTGTTATGTTGCTCATCTTCCTTTTCGTTGTTGTTTTGTTTTAGGATTAAGTATTTTTTTAGACAAAAAATCTATATAAAAAGAAGTTTTTTAAACTTTTTGTAAAAATATATTGATTTTTTTCCTAAACAATTTGTGTTAATTACAAGGTAGATCATTTAGAATATCTCTTAGTCGTTGGCAATATACATACAGATACATCTGCTTAGCGCAAAATCTTTAAGAAAAAAAACATTTCATTTAACTACTAAAATCATCTAACGGGTTTAAAAATATATTAATATCAAATTTCAATATTTAATGGTAAAGTATATGATGATGCTGTCACGCTCGACGAGCACAGATGAGCACCGTTAATGATGACCATCATTAAATTAACTTATAAAACGTTAAATTATAAATTAGCAAACGTATAATTATAAATTAATTAAGAAATTTAAAAAAGATAAAATATTTATAAAACATTAGTTTTTAGGATAAACTATACTATTGACTATTTATCATTTTTTACTTTAACCATCGATTTTCCAATTTTATTGATCGGGTCGCGTAACTATTTAAATTTTGTCAATCAAGCCGTATGCCATTAAATATTAACGAAGGAGATGAAGTGGCAGTTAATAAAATTTGTGCAATTACACATTTAGTCCTCATTACTTATACATTCTATTAATTTGGTTATAACTTTCATTTAATTCAATAAATTTAATCCTCAATCAATGTGTCACTGTGTGATTGGATTTTTTTTAATATTCTCATTTAATAAATTTTTCATCCAATCAAATGGTGACACATCTCATGAATTGAATTAATGGAAAATAAATTAAATCAATAACCGCTTATGGTGGGATTTGAACATGGGACGCACGCCAGAAAATTAAGTACCCTAACCACTAAATTGGACCATTAAATTTATTTATTATACAAAACATAATTTATATAATTTATAATATAGTTAATGATACTAAATGACCTTATAAGGACTCAAAGAGGAAAAATTGAATAATATGAAAATATAAAATATATACAAACAAATATTATAATTGATTAATAAATGAATATGTTTTATTTATATTTTAAATCACATTTAATTTAAAAATTAAAATAAAAGTGAATTTAATATGTTACAATTGAAATGTATCATTTTACATATTTTAAATTAGTAAATTGTTTTCATTATTCTAATTTTATTGAATTGAATTATATCATATCTTATATTTTAAAATGTTATAACGTCGATCGGATTCTAATCTTATTTAATAACTCTATATTTTAAAAATTGAAAGATCGATGCCTAAAGTAAACGAGGTAAATAGTTAAGTGGTCAATGCCATAATTTACCCTAGTTTTTATAATCTTATTTTAACTATATTACACTTAAATTTTTAACTAATTTATAATTATACGTTTAATAATTTATAATTTAATTTTTTAATTAATTTAATAATATTCATTATTAATAATATTTATCCATACTCGAGGAACGTTATAGAATTTTTCAAAGTATATATATATATATAAATAAATAAATACAGTACTATAGTTTATTTTTGGACAAAGATTCCACCATTCGGTGCTTTGGACAATACACGTGGGTTCCACTGACTTCTGCTGCTGTTTCCACTGACACGTGACTTTCCCTTTAATTTCTCGCGGTAATTAACCTAAATTATTATTATTATTTAATATAAAAATAAGTATTAAAATTATATTATTTTTCTTATTTAAGTACCTAAATTAATTTTAGTATCATTCAAATACTTAACGTTATAAACATTATTATTTTAAGTGTATGGACTATCACCGTAATTAAATTTTATAATTATATATTTATAGAATTTTATTTTTTAAAAATAAAAAATTTAAAAATATAAACAAAAAACAAAAATAAATCTCTTTTAACCTGTATTATCCCTCCCTCCTCTCCCTTCCCCAACCTGTCATTTTTTCAAATGACCAAAGGACAACGACCACCAAATGACTGACTATGGTTGCCCCCCAACGTTGCTGCCAAAATTTTTAAATCCAGAAACTCAAATTTTAAATCCCGTCGGTGTTCATACGTGGAGGCCGGCGCCACCCCTATTGCGTTCACACTATATCACAATTTGATTAATTTTTTTAAATTTTAATCTAATTAATTTAATATATTTTCAATCCAATCAGATAGTGATATATGTCACAATTTGATTAAAAATTAAATTTATTGAATTAAATTAAAATTAAGATCAAAATGAGAATATGTATAAGTTATGGGTATTAAATATATAACTATATTAATTTTATTAACGTTAATAATTCCGTCAAATATTGATGGTAGGTGATTATATAGAAATCATTTAAATAATTAAGTGATCATATTGATAAAATCTTGAAAATGGTGGTTATATCGACACAAATCCTATAGTTAGATGGTCATTCAAGTAGTTTACTCAAAACATATAAGTGAGACAATACGGAAAGGAGACGCGAGACGAGAAGTGTAACATCCCCAGGTGCACGGTAGTGATAGGCACAGTGGGAAAAAGAGTGATAAAGAAAGCAAGGGTAGCTAACGTGCCCGGCAGGGCGGCCAATCCCAATCCCATACCCTCCTTTTTCCCATTCGCCATTATGGTATTTGCAAACTTGCCTGTTCATTGCACGACAAAGCCACTTCTCCATAAAAAAACACCACAACTGTCCCACTAACGTCAAGACACACGCCGTTACATGCCAACCCAATCCAATCTCCACACATATCTCTACTACACTTACTATCTCTTATACCATACATATAAATGATATATTCTTTTAAATTATTATCTCATACATTGTGGAATAAAAAATATTTCATCAACGAAAATTTAAGATTAATGAATTATTGAATGATTTTTCGTGGTTAGGGAGAGTTTTATTATTTTTTGAAGTTTTAAGTTCGAATAACTACGTTTATAGGGTGTATGTCTGTATTATCAATAATTAAGAAAATATGTGAACAAATATTATATTATAATCACTACATATTATTAAGAGAAAAATTTAGTAACCACTTAATTTGACCGATGGTTTGTTTTTTCTCTTTATTGCTAATACTGTTTTCTTTCATGAGAGTGAGGTTCCTTATCTTTTGGGATCATTCTCTGAAATAATCTTCATTAATTTGTTATTTTTAAAATTTTAATAAAAAAACGAAAATGTACTCAAGTATTATTAATCATTTATGTAATTTACATTTTTTATTTTATATATTCACTATACTAAGTCAATAATTCATTAAAAGTTTAACATGAATTAATAATTAATGACTACATCTTAATTAAATAAAAATGAAAATGATTAAATATTATATTTTTTAAATTTAATATAAAATACAAAATTTAAATAAAAATTTTCAATCTTATAGTTTAGAGAAAATAACCTCAGTGACAAAAAATCCCAGATAATATACGATTTTGACCAACTTTTTTTGGATTTGCGAAAATGACCAACAAAAATCGTAATGCGATCTCTAATTCGCATTGCGATCTCCACTATCGCAAATTCGCGTTGCATTTCGCGTTGCGATAGTTGAAAATCGCGTTGCGATAGTTGAAAATCGCGTTGTAATTTTCCATTTCGCGTTGCGATAGTTGAAATTCGTGTTGCGATTTTCCATTTTGCGTTGCGATAGTCTACAGTTGTCGTTGCGATTTTCCAAATTCGTTGTGATAGTTAAAAAAAAAGATTTTGTTTCTTAAGAATTTTCTCTAAAAAGATAGTATCCGCGCGGACGTGTCGAAGACACGTATTACCACGACCACGACCACGAGACGAGACGACCACGACCACGAGACGAGACGGACGGCGGTGGCGGCGCGCGAGAGTCCCCCTTGTTCTCTATTACTCAACAAGGAAGTGGGAAAGCAAAGCCTTAAATATCATTCTCAATAGTGTTTCCAATACTATGTGGGATTTGAGCATTACCAACACTTGTTCCCAATACTATGTGGGATTGAGCCTTAAATAGTGATATTATTTTTGAATGTTTTGCTTAAAATTACAATAATCGCGATTGATTGTAGATTGACTTTTAATTATGGCATATTTAATCGTATAATACTAATGCAATTGGTTGCTGATTCAGTTGTTTTAAGGTGCATGATTGTTAATTGTTTCCTGAATAATCACATTGTATTGGAAACAAGTGTTGGTAATGCTCAATCCCACATTGTATTGGAAACACTATTGGGAATGGTATTTAAGGCTTGGCTTTCCCACTTCCTTGTTGAGTGATAGAGAACAAGGGGGACTCTCACGCACTGTCGCCGCCGTCCGTCCGTCTCGTCTCGGGTCGTGGTCGTGGTCGTGGTAATACGTGTCTTCGACACGTCCGTGCGGATACTATATTTTTAGAGAAAATTCTTAAGAAACAAAATCTTTTTTTTTCAACTAATTTGGAAAATCGCAACGATAACTGTAGACTATCGCAACGAATTTGGAAAATCGCAACGACAACTGCAGACTATCGCAACGCGAAATGGAAAATCACAACGCGAAATGGAAAATCGCAACGCGATTTTCAACTATCGCAATACGAAATGCAACGTGAATTTGCGATAGTGGAGATCGCAATGCGAATTAAAGATCGCATTGCGATTTTGTTTGTCATTTTCGCAAATCCAAAAAAAATTAGTCAAAATCGTATATTATCTAAGATTTTTGGTCACTGAGGTTATTTTCTCTATAATTTATCCCGAGTTATTATTAACTTATTATAACAACTCAAGAATGGGAAATTTTATTTAAAATTATGTTTTATTATTATAAAAAAAATTATAAACGTGTTCATCTGGGGTCCCCTTGAACCTCAACTCCTCTCCATCCGCCTGGCACAATGATAGGCATGACCGGCTATAGCCAGTTGCTAAAGGGGGATAGGACAGGTTACTGCCGGTGATTTCAGCGGGGTTAGAAATTGACCGCGGGTGAAATGATTGCAGTTTCCTCCTCCGTTTTGACTCATCCTTGGTTAAGACCACAAACACAGAGTTAAAACAAGGAGAAAACAGAGAGAAGAGTTTCAGCTTTCTCTTTTTTGGTGCGTAAGGGCTCCGATTTTTCATTTTCACGCTGTAAATCAACGAGACTCGGTGGTGAATTAAGTCAAATGGAGGGTTTTCGTTTCTTCGTTGAGTGTTTTCCGAGGTGAAGAAGAAGCTTTTAGGGATTTTCATGGCTTAATTGAGTGAGAATTTTGAGATGAGAGATCCGACATAAGAGAAAGGTTTGAAAGAAATGGCGAATTCAGAGGTATTAATGAAAGGGAATTGTGTGAACGGAGGGGGAGAGAGCTTTTGTTCTGGTTATACTGAACCAAATGATGCTAGGAACGCCATGGAAGGGCAAAATTGTCATTCAACTCGTCCAGCTCCCGTTAGAGGTCTGCATAATTCATCTATCTTCCTTTCTTTTACTTCTCCTTACCGCCTTTTTTTGTTTATATTTTGGCTTTGTTTTGTGACCGGGAAAACATAGACCCCGAGACGGCGCTTTATACGGAGCTATGGCATTCATGTGCTGGACCTATGGTCAACGTACCTCGCGAAGGAGATCGCGTTTTTTACTTTCCTCAAGGCCACATAGAACAGGTTTTAGTTTCCCTTCCTTTTTTCTACTTTTTTTTTTTTATCTCTAGAGATGTTTTTTGATTGGGTTAAATCGTGATTTTGAGCTGAATCAGGTTGAGGCGTCTACTAATCAGGTTACGGACCAACAATGCCAGTGTATAATCTTCCATCGAGGATCCTTTGTCGTGTGATTAACGTTCAGTTAAAGGTACTTTTTCTTTTACTGTGATTTATTTGGCCTTTTGTTTTTCCTCCACTTTCTATGGGTTTTTTTTGTTTTGGTAATGAAAGGAATAAATAGTTGCTGTTAATTCTATAGGCCGAACCGGATACTGATGAGGTTTTTGCTCAAGTGACTTTACTTCCTGAACCTAATGTAAGTTTTCGATAACCTCTTCTTTTTTCCTGTTCAAGTTGATGGGAAGTTGAATTTCTTGATGTCCTTTTCCCTGCAGCAAGATGAGAGCACCGTGGAGAAGGAATCTCCCATTCCTCAACCACCGCGGTTCCACGTGCATTCCTTTTGCAAGACCCTCACTGCCTCAGATACAAGCACCCATGGTGGGTTTTCGGTACTAAGACGGCATGCAGATGAATGCCTTCCTCCATTGGTTTGTGTCCACCGGCAGCATATTTATTGTTCCTTTTCTCAATTGGTGATAATTAGGTCGTGATTTACCCTGTTTGGTTTTAACAGGACATGTCACGTCAACCTCCCACCCAGGAGTTGGTTGCGAAGGATTTGCATGGAAATGAGTGGCGATTCCGGCACATCTTCAGGGGTAATGGTTTTAAATCTAACAGGTTTTCAGACCTATACAAGTTTTTATCAACGTGTTCTTTTACTTGGTTCTGTTCCGAGTAAGCCATTTTGACTTGCGGTTTGATTTAAATGTGGATGGAAATGACAGGTCAACCACGAAGGCATTTGCTTCAAAGTGGATGGAGTGTTTTTGTTAGTTCCAAGAGGCTTGTTGCAGGGGATGCATTTATATTTTTAAGGTTTGTCTGCTTCTTCACATGTACTATGAAATTTGGTATTTTAGCTTTTATTTTTTTCCCTCGAGCTTGAGAATAAATATGTGGAAAAGTTGTTTGTAGAGGTGAGAATGGAGAATTACGTGTTGGTGTACGACGTGCAATGAGGCAGCAGGGCAATGTTCCTACATCAGTAATATCAAGTCATAGCATGCATCTTGGTGTGCTAGCAACGGCCTGGCATGCCTACACAACAAGTACTATATTCACAGTGTATTACAAACCTAGGTATATAGATTGTCCTACCTTTTTGACATGGTTCGTCTTTTTCCCTAGCATGGTATGCCCTAGCTTCCCAACTAGACCTGTTGGTGATGAGTATTCAACTGCACCATTGCCGATTGGTAGAGGAATTCATGTATTCACGTTGGTCAAATTTCTGTTGTAGGACAAGTCCAGCTGAGTTTATTGTTCCATTTGATCAGTACATGGAGTCAATGAAGAATAATTATACCATAGGGATGAGGTTCAAAATGAGGTTTGAAGGCGAGGAAGCTCCTGAACAGAGGTATGGCTTGTATCCTCTTTTCTCTGTTACCGCCTAATGGCAGCAATTTCAATTTGATTTTCAAGTAAGTTGAGATTGTGGTTTTTGGGTTTTTTTTGGTTGCAGGTTTACTGGAACAATAGTTGGAATTGAAGATGCTGATCCAACGAGGTGGAAGGATTCCAAATGGAGATGCCTCAAGGTAGATTTTAACTTGAGCAACTTTTGACAATTTGATTTTACAATACTAAAACAAATTGTAGAATATCTCAAGTTATGTTTATGTTGACATGATGTTCTAATGTCCCTTATAGGTTCGATGGGACGAGACTTCTACCATACCTCGCCCAGAGAGAGTTTCACCTTGGAAAATTGAACCTACTTTGGCTCCTCCTGCGCTGAATACCCTTCCAATGCCCGGGCCAAAAAGGCCTCGATCTAATGCAGTCCCTTCATCCCCTGATTCTTCTGTGCTTACAAGGGAAGGTAGGTTCTGTCATGCAATGGAGTTTATTATGTTTCACCTAACAGCTCTTCTGGAAAGGTCTATTAAAATAAGTTAATTTTCTAGGTTCATCCAAAGCTACTGTAGACCCTTCACCAAATAGTGGATTTTCTAGGGTCTTGCAAGGTCAAGATTCTCGACCTTGAGAGGCAACTTTGCTGAGAATAACGAGTCTGACACTGCCGAAAAGTCTGTGATGTGGCGACCTTCAGTAGATGATGAGAAGAATGATGTGGTTTTCGCTTCAAGAAGATTTGGGTCCGAGAATTGGATGTCACCTGGGAGGCATGAACCAGCGTACACAGATCTGCTCTCAGGTTTTAGGACAAATGTTGATTCCCCCCTTGGGTATTGTACATCTTTGGTTGATCAAACTTTATTAGGCGGTAATCCTATGAGAAAACAATTACTAGATCAAGAAGGGAAGCTTGGCTCTTGGTCCCAAATGTCCTCTGGTCTCTCACTCAAGTTGGTTGACACTACTACAAAGCTTCCTGTGCAATGTTCAGATGTGTCTTATCAAGCTCGAGGAAATGGCAGATTTGGTGGTTTTGGTGAGTATCCTATACTCCAAGGTCATAGGATCGAGCACCCACATGGAAACTGGTTAATGCCTCCCCCAACATCTAATTACGAGAATCCTGTCCAATCAAGGGATTTGATACCCAAAGCTTCATCCGTTCAAGATCATGAGAACGGAAAATCTAGAGAAGGAAGTTGCAAGCTCTTTGGTATTCCTCTCATTAGTAATTCTGTTGCATCTGAGCCCCTAGTCTCTCACATCAATACGTTGAGTAAGGCAGCAGATCAAGTGGAAACTGCACCAAACCATGTTCAGATGTTTGCATCTGATCGAAGTCTGAACAGTCAAAGATCTCCCAGTTGGCAGAAAATCCATCTACTTTTGGTGAATCGAAGAAAGCATTTCATCTGAGTCAACCTCATACAAGGGAGGTTCAAAGCAAATCTCCTAGCACCTCAGCTCGGAGTTGCACTAAGGTTTCATTTCTCTCTCCTTGAAGATGTACACCTGCTCTTCTCTTGTCTATTTCAATGATTATGTTGCTGAATGTGTTTGTTTTTTTCAGGTTCTAATGCAAGGGACTGCTCTTGGTAGGTCTGTGGACCTTACAAAGTTCAGCAACTATGGTGAATTGATGGCTGAATTGGATCAATTATTTGAACTTGGAGGTGAATTATTGGCCCCTAAAAAGAATTGGCTTGTTGTATACACCGATGATGAGGGTGATATGATGCTTGTTGGAGATGATCCCTGGCAGTAAGTATTGTTAACTTAATTCTAATACGTTTCACTTGTTTCTTATGTTTGATACTAAATTCCTGCTTGTGACTAGGGAGTTCTGTACCATGGTTCGCAAGATAGGTATCTACACTAGGGAGGAGGTTCAGAAGATGAAGCCGGGGTCATTGAATTCAAAGGGTGACAACAATCTGGTTTCTGGTGAAGGCTTAGATGCAAAAGTGAAATGTCCTTCAACAGATGGTGCAGAGAATTGTTAAGCTTGGCTGTAATGCTTCTGGGTATTATTATATTAGTGTATTATTGCATATAAGTAATGGATCTTGTTTCGAATAAGAAGCTGAACATTGATCAGGTTGAATATACCATGCTATTCAATAAGAACATGCACCCTTTTTATTCTTTCAGCTTTTGGTGGAGGCATCCGGAGTGCTGTAGCGACATTCAACATTCCGGTTGGAGTTGAAAGTGACGGTAGTAGTGTATGGTATCCGGAGTGCAGCAAGCTTTTTCAGAAATCAGAATCAGATATATGGAGGGCACAAATGGTATAATCCAATTTTGGACGTGGTGGTGGTAGTAGTAGTGTATGGTATCCGTTTTATACACGTTTGTACACTCGAATTCGACTTTTGAGCATGGCTACATCGGCCTTGCATTTGCAACTTCCCCTTTTGTACAGATGTTTTACCGCCTTTATCAACCTGGGAATGCAAGTAAATACACCATCTAATATCTTTCCTGTTCATATCTGCAAGTGTATGGTCTTTGTTTGATATTTCTGACTCACATGACCTCACTTGGCTCCTATATTACAAGTTCTTAATGAGTGTTTTCCGGCTACCGGATGTACCGAGCTGTGCTTTGCTACCACCGTCGGATCTTAGGTTCGAATTGAGTAAAAAATGGTTGAAACAGCTAATGACTTCTGGATGTTCATTGTCAAGTCCAATGTTGTCCATCGACAGCAAGACGTGTGTTCACAACTTTTCCTTGTCTTCACCCTTAATTGCACCATATATGTATCACAGCTATGACTTCATTTATCATTAAGAATACTATTAGATTATTTTTAATTTTACAAATATGTTTAAAATCAATTTTGAAAATTTTACGTAAAAATTGTTTTTAGGTGTTTAAAAAATAAAACAAAGTGACTTGAACCCCAAATACTTCCATTTTAATAATGTTAAAATGTGGAACATATCATTTTAGTCTGAATAATTTCTATATTTAAAATATAATGTTATATATTTTATATAAATACGTAAAATATGTGATTATTTAATGGGTTTAGAAGTAAAAAAAAATGTTATTCAATATGAAAGAATCGATTTATAATAAGTTCATACATAATTTGATTCAGATTATTTAATGTGGGCTTTCTTTCCCTTTTTTAGAAGAAGAAAGAGGGCCAAGTTTTCATGTAGCCACTACTCGTTTAGGGTGGTTGAGACAGTGGGCTTGGAGGTGATAGATGAGCCTTTCAATGGGTCTCATCAATATTATTTAAGGTAAATTCATTAAATATCATTGATTTTTTATATTAAAATTTAATTTATAATTCAATTATACTACTAGGGTTTTGATTCAAAAATGACATTATAGCGTGAACGATAATCTCTGTCACTATGTCAACATAGATATTGAAACAAAACATCGTTATGTTGACAGAAAAATGTGAAGCGTGCATGAAAATTTATTGTTTTGAGCATCAAAATAATCACATTAAAATGATATGATTTTGTTTTAACATTTACGTCGATAAACGACAGAAATTACCATCCACGGGACCACATCTTTGCATTATTTTTGAGTTAACTACTCAGTGATATAATAGAAGTCTAATAATAAAATAAGTTGAAACTTTTTTTAGTAATATTTAATGTGGTTATACATTAATAATAGAAGTCTAATAATAAAATAAGTTGAAACTTTTTCAATATCTCAACGCAACTAAAAATTAGCCAGACTCACAAATGACCAATTATATGTGAAAGAAAGCTCAATACAAAAAAAATGATTAAATTAAAAAATCAAACCCTATCCTAATCGATTTATGTTGTCTTTATTGGATTGTGCTGAAATTAGGAACAAATATAAAATTTTATATGAAATTAGATTTAATAAGTTATTTCAGAAATTTAGGACGTGTGAAATTATGAAATTAGATCATTAATGTAAAATACAAAAAATACTTAAACTATATAAGATTTAAATTTTCTAAAAATATTTTCAGTTGCAATCGAAAATTATATTGCGAGGGATTTAAAACTTATAACTGAAAACGTTATGAAAAATATAACTTATTATGCAACCGAAAATATTACGAAGAATGTAATATTTTAATAATATTCTTTGATCTCGTCTAATTTAAAAAAATATATTAAAAGTTGTATTTTAAAATTTTCAGGAAACAAAAAAGAGAGGAGAAAACATGTTGCAAGACACTAGGAAGATGACAGAAATGAGAATGGTAATAAAGTGGTACAAGAAATCATAAATAAAAGGTCTTGATATTTCCAAAAAGAAGAATACCGAGTGGTCCTAATTCTTACCAGTTTCCCTTCTAACTTAAAACCTCAAACTTTCCAAATCTTTTGCAAATGTATTTGGCTTCCTTTTAGGTACATATCCATGGCACAAGTCTTCCTTCAATCAAAATTCTTAACAAGTGAATGTTGTTTTAGGGTTCAAGTATGTGTGCCTTTAGTGTGTTTATACGTTATCAATTGATTAAGAAAAATTTAAACAAATATCATCTTATAATTACCCTGAACTATTCAAAACAAAAATCTTAATAAAACCTTAAAAATAGGTTTACAAGAGAAGAAAGTAAGGTAAAGCACATCACATGTCATTCAATTATTAATAAGATTACAAACATGTCACTAAATTTTAAAAAGTTATAAATAGGTCAATCAAGTAACTGACCGTTACAAATAGTTCAATATGTCGTTAAGTATGTGATGAAAAGTGAAAACTAACTTCTTAGTTATAACCGAGTGACTTGATTGTTACAATCGATAAACTGAATGACCTAATTATAACTAAAAAGCTATTATCTATTTTATTTTTAATAATAATAGTGACTTATTTGTAACAATAGATTAATTGAGTGACCCGTTTATAACTTTTGGAAATTCAATGACCCATTTATGATCTTATTAATAATTAAGTAAATTGTTGTATATTTTACCCAAAAATTAGAAAAATAAAAATATTTAACGAATTTTATCATTTGTTACGTAATTACTCGAATACAGGATCTAAAAAAATAACACTCACCTTAACCACTAAAACTACTAACAGATTCAATGCGTCAAAAATCTAATAATGATAACATAAACTTTAAGTAATTCTTAATATGTAATATCCAACATATATTAAAATTGATTAAAAAACATACATTAAAATTGACCAATCAAAAACACCAAGAAAGGGCAAATTAGTCAAAGCAAATGGAAACATCTATGGACAAGAAAGGGACTGAGATTTATATATGGACATAAAAGTAGAAAACTGAAAATGTCCAGGGACTAGATCTTAAGTATCAAATTATAATTTTGGTCCCTTTATTATAGAAAAAAATTTGATATAACCTTAATACTTTAATTAGATACAATTTAAGGTTAATATCATTAAAAATTTACAATTACATTCAAGTCATTACAATGTTATTTATTTTAGTTACGACACTTTCAAGTTGATATTTTTTTATTAGTTTAACGGTATAGGAAGCTCTTATTTTTTTTAAAAAATCAATTAAGTCCATATTTTTTTACCTCCTTGAGCTATTGAACTAGAAAATCTTATCAATCGAGCCCTTTGACTAACAATTTTTGTTACTTTTATTGTATTACTGTGGTCGTCAAGATGTGGTCGATAACGTTATTGATGTGACAATCAACGCATGAATGATAGCATGATAGATGAATTTGATTATTTTTTTAAAAGTTCGAGAGTTTCTTATAAACCACATTTATAAAAATAGGATGATTAAATTATTTCAAAACAAAGCATAGGGATTAAATCAGAAAATAAATATATAATAAAGGGACCAATAGCGTAATTTAATCCCCTTAGCCCCATACATCCAAACAAGTGTAAATCAGATAGCGGAGAAGTCGATAGAAGGTGATAGATTGTCGACGTAGAGTATATTAGAGAGAGAGTGTGTGTGTTAATATAGACCACATTTATCCTCTTTATTTGCTATTCGGTCGACCATTTCTAAAAGAAAAGGGTGAAAAAAAAGGGTCTCTTCTCCCTGCAATTTCTAAAAGAAAAGACCCCTTTTTTTTCTCTTCATCGGTTCTTTTTCTCTTCTTCATCGGTTCTTTTAGGTGAGTTGTGCGCAACTCTTTCTTCTGTTTTTCCCCCAGGTTTCTTTTGATCCTTTCTTTCGGTTTCATGGCTTGTTGGATGTTTGGGTTTTGTTGTAGTTTCGGGTTTTTTTGTTTAAAGATTCCGTTTCTTCTGGAAATTCGATTTAGGGTTTTCTTTTGGTGTTTCCTTTTGGTTTTTGTTGAAATTTGTACAACTTTCCGGTTCTTTCTTTTTGGGTTTTAATTCCATTAAATGTACGAAGCTTTTTGTAATTTAAGCTCTGGGTTCACTTTATTTCACTTGTTAGATTCAAGGGTATTTCATTTTTTATTGGATATTGCGCCTTAGATTTTCTAGTACGTACGCTTAATCAATTATCAATAGTTCTTGTGTAGTTAATGCTGTTGGAAGAAGTTATATGATATTAGTTTGGGGTAAATCTATTGGGTTTATGTTTTTCTTAATGAGTTTATAAAACTGTTCTCTTTAAAGTAAAATTTACATGTGGAGAAGATTTTGAGATTATATGAGAATTTTCGTTTGTTGTGCAACATCCTTTAATTCCGGGTGGAGTATGGCAATTATGTGAAGAATGCAAGTGTTTTTACAATCCCTTTGGGGGTATTCATTTATGCGAGTCTTTGTTTTATTGCAGATAGCTTGGTAGGAGAGATGGCAAAAGTTCTGGCTCAGTCGGCTCTTGTTCCTGCTCTAGTTACGAGTCGAAGTCATGGTCCATCCAAACAATCTGGAAAATCGAAAAGGTCTGCCAAAATGATGTGCAGTTTAAGAACACCTGAATTGACTATACGTAGTTTCTCAGGGTTGCGAGGTACAACTTCTTTCGATAATATGGTCAGAGTCGGCCAAGATTTTCATTCTAAGGTTGCAATTTCAATCTCTTCTCGACGTGGAAGAGGAAGCCGATGTGTACCTAGAGCCATGTTCGAGCGCTTCACGGAGAAAGCAATTAAAGTAATCATGCTTGCTCAAGAGGAAGCCAGACGACTTGGTCATAATTTTGTTGGTACCGAACAAATTTTGTTGGGCCTTATTGGTGAAGGTACTGGAATTGCCGCAAAAGTTCTGAAATCCATGGGAATCAATCTTAAAGATGCGCGAGTAGAAGTCGAGAAGATAATTGGAAGGGGCAGTGGTTTTGTTGCTGTAGAGATTCCATTTACTCCTCGTGCCAAACGTGTTTTGGAACTTTCGTTGGAAGAAGCCCGCCAACTCGGTATCTTTATAGATAGCTTTAATTAGTTTACAACAGCTTTTAAACTGTCATTTGGCTTTCATTTTGTTTGCGTTGATTATTCATAGATCAGTTCTCTCAATCATGTGCATGCTCTCCAGACTTGGGAAATTTACACTGATTAACTGGCAAATGTTATGTTAT